GGATGATTGATGTTTAATCTATGTTATGTGTATAATATTAGTCATTTTCATTCCTTTATGATGTCACTAAAGAGGTAATGGTGATTTATGTATGATTAGTCACGAAACCTGTTGGGCCCTTTGTTGCACTTTGATAAAAAGCATTTTTTTCTGGATGTTCCAAAACCATTTGTTTGTTCTGATATGGACTACACACTGAGGCAAGGAAACCACTCCAGCCAACTGGCAAGGTGCAGATGTGACAGATAGCTTGACTCTGAGCATCCTTCCTTAATGCGCAGCCCGTGGTGACAACAGCACCTTGCTGTTCCCAAACGACGAGTGTCTTTATCAGTCACATGGTAGCCATAGCTACCAAAGGACAGCCACGTCGTCGTGTGAGCGATGGATCATCATTAGCCTGGACCCCTGCGTTACCGACATCCATCACGTGCTGCACAGCCGTCTCCGAGTGCCGCCATGGCAACCAAGGTTGCTTCCCATCACTCATAAACTCACACAGGTTATTTTGGCTTTCATGAGAAAGCAGGATCATAAAAGTGTTCAAAATGGCTGGGATGATTATTTCCAGGCTGGGGCCATGAAATGCAAGCACGTATGATTTTCATATTTATGAACAGGCGCCATGGATAAGCCAGGTTTGCTTGCCTAAATGTCTGGTATTGGATGTAATAAGACTGGGAATTCATTTTGGGCTGTCCGAGTGCCCCACAGCCTTGTAAAACCGAGTTACATATGGTTTGGTACGGGACCCAAGGGATGGCCACCGCTGAAAATGGTCCCATCTCCACCCTAACCCCTTTAGGCTGCCATAACTAGGCTTCTCCATCGCAGGGATTCTGCCAGTCTATCCAATTCCGGACGCTATGATGGAAGAACTGTATATATGCAGATGTGGCAAAGACGACCAATTAAGGCGGCAAAATAGAAATCCATTGCTTCAGAGCACACAGATTTGCCATAAGTTGGGGGAGAATTACGCCCCCCTCCTGCCGTCATACCCACACACTTACTCGTCGAGCCCCGATCCCTCTCGCTAGACTCTATCGATTTACTCCCACCCCCATTTGTAATGCCATTTGGATGGAAATGCGCAGGTTTTTATCCCAGAATCACTGGAGTTTCGGGACAGTTATTGAGGTACAGGTGGCGAATTACCTCCAAAACACATTTGTCTCCCCGGGCACAAAGCTTCAATATCCCTCCCTCTGATAGGATGCACTGGGGGTCAAAGGTGGGGATAATGGGTGCAAGCCACCCCACAGGCAAGGGCAGAAATTGTGGGGGGAGACCTCTGTACCCCCTGTAGCCATCAGTGGGGGAAATCGGTACACTTGAAGGGACCCTGTGGTCAAGCTCGCACAGTTGGGATGGATCATACTTGGCTGGCTGAACGCAGCAAAGTGGAGAGAGCAGCACTGCCCCAAGGTCAACCAGGGCCCCGGACCTTTTCTCCTCGTCACCCCATTTGAGAAAATTGCCCTGTTTTGATTGAGTCCACCGCGTGGAAAGGTTAGCTTGGCTGGTCACTCGCAACCGTTTTACCATCCCGTGCCCCGGAGCCACAGGGAGAGAGAAAGTCTGTCAGACGGACAGACTCCCAATGATAAGTCCCTCATCTGCACTTAAGGATGGAAGTGGGCAGCGGCTATTGGTGGATGAGGAAGGGAATGGAAGGTCTGATGTTCAGATCCATCCTTTTGTATCCCCCTCCTCGGAAGTGCCGGCTTGATGTACTGCTACGCAATTTACAGAACATATTCATGAGTTCCCAATAAGTCCATTAACTGGTGAATTCCCTGCTCAAGGTTTTAGCCGAGATCGCTTCGCACGGCGTAATTCCCTCCCTGGCGGAGAAAAGCACAAGTCACTCAAGTGCACAATGAAAGGGGAGATGAGTCTAGGAAGAGTTTTGTTAAGAAGCGCGATCCGGAGTTGGAAGTGGTTTGATGGGAAAAAGAAATGAACTGCAACACCGACAGATTAAAAGGGATATGGTGCCATGTTGTCAGAAAGTGTGGTACAGACAGGAAACTAGGAGAAATATTAAAGATTCATTTCAGAAAGGCAAACTTTAAGATAAAATGCAGGAAAGAATGTCTACTTGTAAAGGATGAAAACATTTTTGGAATAAACAAAAGACAAAATCTTGAGAACATTTCCAGTTTTGGTGCCCAAATCCTATTACATGTGTCTTTCAAAAACATTGCAAACTCCAAGCCTATATATAAGTCAGTGTGTGTATATGTATGTTATATATATACCAGTACTGGCTGTGTTTACCAATGGGGGGAGTGACGACCCAGACTGCAGCTGACATGACCTCCTGACCTATCTGTCTCAGTCTGCAGTCCCAGCCAGACACAACAGTCATTCGAACTGATTGACCTGCTTGTTTTCCTGCCCCTCCCATCATGAATTATTTCCCCTGACAACCACAAGGGAAAGTCTTTACATAATTGTATCCATTTGTGTGCCCTAGCGCCATGCAGGCTCTGTACAGGAAGCCTGTCTGTATCAGGTTTGACTTTGAGTCTGTGGGACCCATCTTTACCCAGGGTAGGTAAGATGGTTGGTTAGCAGAGGTCTCCAGGTACGACAGTTGTAGTCAAAGTTGATACTACTTTTAAATGTCAACTTAAAGTCTGGGGCAGATTATAGACATACTTTACACTTGTCTGGTTTCTTCTTTACATGTCTGGAAAGGTGCCAAAACAAAAAAAATGGGTTTCTTTTATACCCTAGAGTCTCTCAGTTTCCCACCGAGAAGTTCACCTGCAGTTCCGCTGTGGCTCACCAGAGGGACAAAAGTGGTCCCTGGCCAATTCAAATTAGCTTCCTGTATAACAGACCATAGCTAGCTGGCTGGCACTCAGATTTGCATGCTTAAGCTAAAAAATTAACATCCTTCCCATACCTTGTCCATCTCTGCATCAAGATAAAAAAAACATGCATGTATATGTTGAACATTCTTCCTTTTTGAATGGTCATGTTTGTTTCCACGGTATTCCTTCACATTGTGGTATTAACATCACCCTGTTGTGCAGCATATGTGAGAGGGATTAGGAAAAGCTTACTGTTCCAGGATACTCTTCCTTTCTTTCTTGACATGATCACAGTCCATTTCAGCAGTTTTCCCCCACACTGGTGATGTCATTGCCCAACAAACAGCTGAGCTTGCTCGTGGCAGATCTCTCACCGATACTGGGCGCCTTGTCAATAGCTGACGGCACCAATCAATTATCCGCTGCTGTCACACAATTGCAGCTTATGTTCTTCCGTCTGAATGCTTGGTTTCCCTCATTACGCAGGCCGATTGTCTGCACCAGATACTTATTGCCAAGCTTCACAACAAATCAGCGGCTCTGCTGATCTGATTTTGGGCTCGATATTTTCCGCACCCCGCCTGCTGCTGTTCAGTCGATTGTGGGGACACGGTCCAGGAAACCAGTCAGTGAGGCGCTGTGTCGTAAATCCTTTCTTGAAAGTTAACATCTATTCACTGTGAGTTACACCAGTTCTACAACTTCACAAACTGGAGATCTTTTTCTTTAATATCATTCGCTGCATATTATAAGGGATGCAAAATGACATAAACTAGAGTTTATTGAAGGGTACAGCAAAAGAATAAGTTTACGTCTTTTTACGGTTACATCTAACTTGACAAAGCTCTTTGACCTTCATTTGTTATCATCCCCTGCATAGGGATACAAAATGCCATAAATTACAAAGTTTTATATCAACAAGTTTATTTGAACTATATTAATTTCTTTGAGAGGGGATGAAACCAGCCAGCAGGATCTGGACTACTTTTAACATTAACACACATTGCAAGGGATACAAGACAACACAAAGTATGAAAATCTTGATGAAACCAACTGTTTTTAGGTTAAAATTTATTGTGCAGTCGATTGGGTGACACTTGTCAGTGATGCGCAGCAACGTAAATTTCCTCCGTGAAGAATAATTTGAAAGACTGTGTTTGTGTTCATTCACAATTATTAAGAATATATTAACGAATTATCAAGAATAATTGTTGATAATTCAGAATAATTTGAGGGAATGAGTCAACCTGCATCAATGTATATATTAATTTTTTCATTAGACGTTTGGCGAGACTTCTGGCCGAAACAATCTCTGATGCCTCCATTTGCGCATTGTGCAGCCATGGAAATAGCCACGAGCTATCTCCGGAACACTCAGGAGTTAGAGTTACTGCAGTCCTAAATGTAAAACCGACCGACGAAATGAGTCAAGCATAATTCCCATCCTGCAACATCACTCAACTGATAAGAATATTAGAGAATCAATAGATACCTGCGGGCTTCGCTTACGCTATCTGTGGGGACATATTTCACCGGTCCTCCCGATGCACAAAATGGATTTGTACCACTTACATGAACCTTAAATGTATCGGAGGTCCCAGCTGTGCGCAGCATTGCACCTGGATATCTATAAGCAATCATTTTCCCAGGGAGCCTGAAACGGTCGGCAGAATGTGCCTCGTCTCACCCACAAAAACTCACAGTTTTTCATGGAGAATTTAAACTCTACTCCTGCATAAAATATGGCGATTATTCCTGGAAGTTTTGAGTGACACCCATCTCTCTTCTTCAGCATCAGTAGAATTGACTGGCAGAACTAGTTAACACTTACATTGTATACAATACTGGAAAAATGGTTGAACATGACAAAGCCACTGATTTCTAAGCGTGATATGTAAATCAGGTTAAGATCATTTTAGATAATAGATAACAGCATTGTCCTGACCATCATACATTAGAACAATATTTTCTTCACACGTCAATTAAAAAAGAAACTCTCCAAATGATGTCCAGAGACGTGAACAACAGGAGTCAGAGGCAGACATGCAGAGAAGCAATCAGATGTTTGAACTACATGTAGTGTCTGAATAGGATGGATACTACCAACCTGATTGAAACATTCTTTTATTTCATTTTCCCCCCTTTTGTTCAAAATGTCCTTTTTCCTTCCCTTAGGTTGAGATGACAGGCAGCAGTGTGTTTGACTACGTCCATCCCGGGGACCATGCAGAACTCGCGGAGCAGCTTGGGATCAAGATCTCTCCCCAAGGCCAGCAGGGGCAAGGTGCAACGTCCGAGGGGGAGGGCAGCGCATCAACAACACCCTCCTCCCTACCCATACCAGAACATATAGAAACAGGTTTGTTTATCTGAGTTTACCATTGAGTACAATAGAGGGGAAACAAAACAGGTGATATAAATCTTTATTTCTTGAACATTTCAAAACTGGTTGAGAGATATTTCTCCTGGACAGAAAAGTTTATAAACTGATTAATTCAAGTATAAACAGAAGCCTTACATTTTTTCTTATCATTGGTGCGCATCAAATTTATGACATTTACGTACATGTAGATGTTTGTCATGGAGAAACAGGTAAGGGAATTGTTTCTCCCAAACAGCCAAATGTTAGACCTCCTCTGATTAAAATGGACTAGCCCCTACTAACCAATTCAGGAAGTACTCTTCAACTTCATTAAAGTTAGAAGATCACTTCACTTCACCCATCAGTCAAACAACACTACCAAATCACTGAAATCAAAGGTAAAACCTTTGGACACAACAGTTGACAGCATTCAGCACCAAGGACAGACACCATCAACTATTTCTTTTGAGATTCAGAGAGTGCTTATTAAATACTTCCAGAAAGCAGCATAGTTTCTTTTTTATCCTGCAACTTGGCAATTGTATGGGAGTTACATGTCTATAATCTGCAGTTTATGACTTTTCAACAAGTTTAGCATATTGTCCTAGGTACCCAAAACATGCAACAAGTTGAAATATTTCCACAGCTATGTATACACCGTGGAATCAGCTACATGTATATATACACCACATGTACAGTGAAGTCTGCAAATTAGGATTGCAAACTTTGTCTTTGAGTCTCTAAGACAAAGTATATAGCAAAAAGGCAAGCTAAAATACAGGGAGTTTTATTTTTGTGCAATAACATACAGTACAAGGAGTGGGGGCTGTTTTTATGCTGCTCTTTACACAATAAGTTCGTAGTAGTTTTGTTTCCTGCTAGAGGTTGGAGAGGCTGAACAATTCTGAGCTACTTTCACATGACTCTGTCAACTTAACACAAAGTATGCTTGCAGTTATTGGACTACCTAAAGATGACAAGAGAGTCAAACAACCATGCAAATGAGCAAGGAGAAAAGTTTCAAGCAGGTTCTGACCCAATTGGCCTGGAATATGTAACAGGTTGCCCTGGTGTAGATTATAGCCTAGTCCGTATCAGTCTGATCGCATGGAGGAGATAACAGACCAAGTGCACGATCAGGCAGTGGTTGTGCCCGGTCAATCATTTGCATTGCCGAGTGCGCTAACGAAGACAAGGGCTGACCTGTCATCAGGGTGGGAATATTACAGGGGGACTAGCTCTCTGTCAACTCACACATTCTGGGCACGGAGGGATTTTCACTTCAAGCACTCTCTGAGGACGCTGTATTGACACATACCCTTGTACGGGGGAAATAGGATAGTGCAATTCAGCAGCAAAACTATTATTTCAGCCATGTATTAATATCTCATGGTCATAACTGTCCATAAATTGCGTGCCATGGCTTGTACAAAGCAATAACTATTTGCTCCGGGTCACCGAACTATTAGGCGGTGTGACGGGTGATCTTTGACACTGGGCACCTCTCAGAAATGCATGATATTTAAGTAATGTCCATTTAATTGCAACATTTGATGTAGCAGACTATGTCCATTCTATTAGATTTTTATGTTCCGTGCAAGAGATAATTAACATTATCCATGTAGCAAATGTTAACGCGGGTTTATGGTGTTAGGCTAGGCCATTAAAGTCGGGTGAAGTTTCTCCCCAAAGAGTTATTATCCGCCAACCTTACCAAATAATTAAGTGTTTGCGTTCAATTTACAAAGTGATGCCCACTGCGAAGCGTGGTGCTAAAATGGGAAGCACAGCCTCGCCTAATTGGACCTAATAAACTAAGTTTTTCGCTCGTCTTCGGAAAATGAATGGAACGGTAATCCAGTAATGCGCGAAAGTCCGAGCATTACGAGCAAGCTCGCGGGGCTTCTGTTGGCACGGAAACGCAGGCACACATCACCGCTGACCTTCCAATCAAGTGCAGCAGTCATGTGCAAGGTGACAGAAAGCATTTAGGCCCAGCAGACTGGAAAGGGCAAACTGCGCTGTGCAGGGTCTCATGAGAGGAGGTCGCCTGTGAATGTTACCCCAGGCACCGGTGACACTAAGGGTGGAAACTGCACAAAGGTGGGAGGAGGGAAGGACCCCTTCTCGGGTAGACATACAGCCCAGTAACTGTAATGACATACTACATGCCCCCACTGTTCAGGTGCCATGCTTACATCAAGTCTAGTGGCTCCCCTGGCGAAGTCGTTACCACGTTAATGAGACATTTGTCGAGAACTTTATGTCTTTATCATAAAGGGTTTTGCTTTGGTATACCAAAGGATCGTTGGGCTGGAGTTTTTGTTCCTCTAGAGGACCATCTGTCTAATGCCTACGGTTGATGATATGCTGCTTTTTGACCTCTGTTTTTGGCTCAGTCAGTGCATGGGCATTCAATTCCTATTTACACTATCACACATTTTGAAATGGTAAAACTGATAGAAAAGGTAAGGTCCATTGTCTTGTAGAACACAGGATATCAGGATTAACAATGATGGTACTGGAATCAATCTCTATGCCAAACGTTTTGGATAGCAGACTTGACCATCAAGAATGAGTAAAGATGAATGGAGCCATTGATTTTGATGATAGAATTAAACACACAAACAAACAAACAAACAGCCCAATCAAGACCTGTCTCATTTCCACACTTCACTACCTGAACTGGTCTGTGATTACTTCATTACCTTTCAAGGAGCCTGTCATCGTGTAACATGCAGTGCTTCATTTATTCATACATTGGCATTCATCAAACTTCAATTTGGTCATTGATTCCTTCCTTGGGAGAAAAAGTACCATATTGACCGCCATTTCGATCCTTCTAATTACACCATGAAATATTTACCAGTCTCCTTTTTACTAAAATTTCTCCTACATGCAGGTCTTCCTGGCAAAATCCACTTACAGTTCCTCCATCCCTTTTTAGATCACATCATTCTACTCATCTGCAGTCTCAATTGTCCAGAGCTATCCGTAACCATGCCACTGAAACTGATTCCTTTGTAATCCTGCTATTTGTTGTAACTTTCCATTCAACATCTACCCACTCACATCGTCCCCCTGTCTAGCAGATTACTTTCCTGGACCCTTTTGACGCTCCTGCATTCAACATTTTCAATTTGTGGTCCAGGTAATTCCATTACTCCACAACAATCCAGCATCCATCTTTGTGCTGATGTCTGCACGACGTCCTGAAATCCAAAATTCTGACCTACAAGGAAATCAAGCAGTCGTAGATAACTCATAAATCTGAATTCCTCCGAGGGTCCCCCTGTATTGATCTCACAGAATGAGCAGCTAATAAAACTGTTTTGCTCTATGGTTACAGCCAAGTGGTTTGCCCTGCTCAGTCTGGGTGCAAGCCCTGTATTCTCCAACGAACAAGGAGATATTACAGTCCACTCAATGAAGAGCGAATGTTGTGGAAAGAAGGTGGATCAGCAATAAGCTTGCCTTTGCTCCCATGTGGATTTCCCACAGAATATTTTCATTAGGAAGTTATAGGCTGGGAATTAGATTCAGCCACTTCCTCTTTCTCGGTTCGCTCGAAGCTGTCAATTACTGAGCTTCGATGGTGCAGAAGGCTTTGAATTTGAGGAGACCCTCTCAAAAAACTTGTCGCATCATCAGTCACTCTCTTGATCTGGTGTGAGATAGCAGTGTACAACATAAGACTGCTAGAGGAAGAACAAAATAGACACTCTGACTTACTAGTTCTTGGATTTAAATTTTTCTCAACTGATTTCTCAAGTCTGCACTTTCCCATAAACTCTTCTAAAATAATTATGAGTCAAAACCTTCTAAAATTTGCCACACTCCTGACAATAACTTGGGAAAGAAGGCTACCTCACAGAGGTTCTTATTTTAATTTCACCAGATGTCAAATGTCATTACTACTACTGTCAATGATATCTAACAGACTTTTTGTTTCTGCAGATGTCATAGGCCAAACCATCACCCCTGACTACAGGTGGGACAAGTCTTGTTTCATCAGGATGAAATCCACCCTGACCAAGAGAGGGGTACACGTCAAGTCTTCTGGCTACAAGGTACATCATTTTTTTTGTTCTCTTTATAGTACACAAGGCCACACCGATCTAATTTGTTGGTTCTCGGATTTTTAAAAAAAGTGATGCTGGAATGCAAGATAAACAGAGCCTGAGGAGAATGAATGTATAAAATTTGGTCTAAAAAGTTTCACATACTGAATATATGCTGGTACTCAGTCACTCCCCGGCCCATTTTTATCTTGTACAAATGTACTTCAGCTGATTACTTTGAATGTCCAAGAACCAAATCTGTGTGGCCTAACAATCTATTTGCGTAATACACATACAAATTCAAGTAGCATAAGAGACTTTCAGTGGACCACTACAGTTATCAGTAAGTCTGGGGGGTTGACAAAGCATGGCTGTCCTCAAACCTGGGGCCTTTGGCTTAACAATTCCCTTGTAAATTACTGTAACTCTGGACATAAACACCAGTTTACTGTAGCTCCACTGGGATATCAAACCTATGACTTTGTGATGGAGATTGCACACAAGAAATCATACACGAGCAAGTGCCCAATATTTTCTCATTCTGCAATTTGGTTCTAAAAAAACGGGTTTGTGATAACTTCTGAAAGGTACAAAAATCGCAGTTGTCCCATGAAACCGATTTGTGACTCGACCACTGCTGCTGACCTACAAAATTCCATGTTCTTACTCACTGAGAAACTGAAGTTCAAGCCCCCGACATCAATTTTGATACCACATGGGTATCTTTTATCTACAATTACATGTAAATGCCACAAATCAATCTGAATGGGCTTTGTAACAATACAGCCTTTTCCCTTTTGATGCTCTAAAACGTCAAATATATGTATTGTGACAGTACAGTTTTGATGATGATGATGAAAGAAACAATTAGAATCGAAAGTTCCAACAAAGTACTTTAAAAGGTTGTCCAGAATAAGTAGGTTCATATCACAGGTACAGCTGTAGTTGGACAGACCTTTGTCTGAAAATTGAAAAAAAACACATCATTGAAAATTAAGTTCATTGTTTCTCCAACATTATGAGGTAAAATCGAGGCAAGTATGAGAAGAAAGAACCGGATAAAAAACTGCTTTCACTCCACTCCTGGCTTGTTTGAACATACAAAGTTTCCCCTTATACTCTTCGTGATGTTCAATATTATTCTTTTCAATTCAGGAACCATTGAAATAACTTGGTGTGGCCTTACATAGAGGGAAAAAGGAAACAAAGCAATCTGTTGTGCTGTTGATGCAGACTGGCATCTGATTTACTTCGGCCATTGTCAATGTCATCAGGAGAGGGAAAATTTACTTCCCGGTCGAACAATATGGTTTTGTTTAGTCTGCCGAGTAAAGTTTGGGCTCCTTTGTTGTTGGTGTTTTTATCTGAGAGAAATTTGGGGAAAGTGATTTGGCCAGTGTGTGAAAGGTGCCCCCATCATTTGGGGAGAAAAGTCCTGACTGTACAGGGCGAACCATTAGGAGGGTGGTTAGGGAGGGAAACTTTGGGAGGCAGATCGAGAAACAAAAGTGCTTTCTGCGAAAATCAATAGCAGCGCACTTAAAGTAGGAAACTCCTTTGAGCTTGCACAGGCTTTTTGCCTACAGAGATCTCAGTGTTCAGGCCCTGCTCCAGACATATTCCTGAGTCATGGATTCCCACCCCCACCCTACAAGTACAGTGACAAGTCCTGAAAAAAACACAACGTTCACATTTAGATTCACAGCTAAATAATGAAGTGTGGGAAAGCCTCACCCTGCCATGCAAGGCAAAACTCTGCAGCCACAGGCCGACCTTCTGCGCATTCATCATGAACCCAATTGTTTATCCCTCTTTGTTATCAAATTTCCAACATATTCAAACGACACAGTATTCCAAACTAAGTGACAAGGAATGGCCGCTGGTATGCATGGGAACCCATTAGAATTGATAACATCATTGTTGGGGCCGGCTTTTTGTTGTCGGTTTGCAGCTCAAGTTGAACATTACAAGGTCTCGCCGGAGAGGGCCTCCCGACAACTGCGCCCTTGGGTGGGATTTTAGTGTGCCCTCTGACACCGATTCCCTTTCTGTCTGCTCCCCTTTCCGAGCTAGTGGCTCCTGGTTGGCCCTTGTCGACGGTTTTATTACCAAGGAGCGCAGAATGAGCGGGGGCCGTTCTCTGTCGAGAAGGTCACTCATGGTGTCAAAACAGGTGCAGATTCAGCTGTGACTTATTCAATGTAATGATTTTTGTAATGGGCCGATCAATATAATTTAGTAGCCGGAAAAGAGTTCCTATTGATGTCAAATATATGGATTTTACGTCACCCGAATCACACCTCCGGCCAGCGGTGGAAGGGATCGTCTCATTAAGCTTTAGAGGGCGGAACAAGTTTACGGATGGTTTGCTGCAAAGATGTAATGTCTGACTATCAAAACGACCATAAATATCCTCCCAAGCAGTATAACAGCACCCTTGGCCCACACCACCTTCAATTTGCCCCCACACTTTTTCCCAAAGTAAAGTTTGCTTTTTCTCTTAAACTCATTGCCCCTCTTTCTACCTTGTCATTAAGTTTGAAGGCCTAGAGTATCAATTGTACAGCAGTGATTCTCGTTGGAAAATTGCCATCACACCTGCACGGGCGATCCACGCAAGGCATTCGAGTTCCCCTTCAGAGGGTAGCCAGTCAGTGTAATAAACAGATTATAGGGTGAGTTGTGCCAGACAAAAATTAAGTCAGCCGTTGATAAATATTACAAAAGCCGGGAAAATTGCTTTTCTATCTCGTTGTATCTTTGATCTTCATCGGGGGCTAATATTACAGGTCCAGCGTCCATCGATCAATACGGCGTAGATGAGAAGCGCCCAGGTATCAAGGAAACCATGTCCCTGTGAAAGAACCTTTCCCTTGGAGCAATACCCTCCTATTCCAAGGTCAAATTACAATAATCACCAAGTTCCCACCCTGCTCCATACTTTACTCATAGGAAGGATTTCAGGCCAATCTTTTGATTGCGCATTGGATAAACCAAGAGATTTTTTAACAGAGGGAAACAGGACAAAGAGAAAGGCATTTAGCATTGCAGAAAAAACATGAAATTCAATCCAAGCTGCCATATTTGAGGGAAATATGTGTTACTGGGTAACGTAATTACATCAACAGCACAAATGACAAGAGTCTGCACTGTCAGCACAACAAGATATTTGCGAAGTCAAAATATTAGACAAGGGCCTGGGTTGTTTTGCACAAGTTTGTAAATCCTTAACAGTCAATCTTGAACAGCAGACGGTTGCCCTTGAACAAAGGTCACAGTGGAGAAGGCAAGTGTGGATCGGATCGATTGCTGCCTACCAGTACAGGTATGCAGAAAAAGGGGGGGGGGTACTGAACTGGGTTGGTTCAGAACATAGGATTGGAAAAGATGTCTAACCCTGTGATTTAACAGTTCTTTGTTATTACATTATCAGGTTATACATGTCACAGGGCGGTTGCGGCCGCGGCTCAGCCTGTCGCACAGCCAGCGGAACCCCATCACGATCCTGGGACTGGTGGCCGTGGCGCACGCCCTCCCCCCACCCACCATCAACGAAATCAGGATGGAACAGAACATGTTCGTCAGCAGGGTCACCATGGATCTCAAAATCATCTACTGCGAGCCCAGGTAAAAATACAAAACATGAACTTCATTGCTCAACAATCATATAAGGTACAATACTAACAACAAACATACTATGAGACTACTAACAATACATGGGTTATCAGCTGTCATATATCAATATGTGCTATTTGATACCACTGATAGAAATCCTCAGTTAAGTTTTTAACATGGAACTAAGAATCTGAAAGTGCCCACAGAGTTGTCTTTCAGTTAATATGGAAAGGTACACCAAGGGATTCAAACCTAAGTACTTGCTCTTACCAAAGGTACAACTGGTATTTGGTGCAAAATCTACTGCAGCTTATTACTGAAACACCACTGCTTGGAACTAATAGCCCTTTTAGTTTCTACATTAAGCAGAAATCTCATGGTACTTTCATTTGGAGCCTTTGTACTGAATTAAGAAGTAAAATTTAGAATTCATTCCAGTAACATCTTAAAGTTAATGTTTGCATTAATAACAAAATGAGCCACTGTTTCCCTGCAGTGAGGGCTGCTGCTGTTTTTGTTACTTCTGTGTTTTTTGTTGGTTGTCTGGGGTTGACAGCATGTGGTCATATGTGTGGGTTGATTGACAGGCAGAATGACAGGTCAAAAGGCCAGACAAAGGAAATGGGAGAAAGTTGAAGATTACAAAAAACCCAAATACTTCCAGAAAGTCTGAAATCTCTGATTTCTTGTACTTGGTATTGACCCCTTTCCTGCCCTTGGTGCTGAAGAGATTTCTGCTATTCCAGGGCAAAGAAAATATACATTGTATACCCAAATCCTTACACTTCCAATTGCAGATGTAGATAAAAACACTGCAACTAGCACAGTTATTTCAGATCTTCTTTTTTCATTTTTTTCAGGTAGAAATTCAGGAGCACTAAAGGATTCCTCTTAACACCTGCTAGTTGTTTTCCAAAATATTGGAAGCCTTATACTTCAAATGGTTACTGTGGTTAACATCAATGTATCAAGAATACGTTTTAATCACTTCTATTTATTTTCACATAGAAATCCTTCCAAATCTCAGGTGACCATATACTTTCTACCTCAATTCTATTTCTACCCCCTCCCCCTCTTTTAAAGCCCATCAGATGATGGACAGGGGCTAACTCATCCCATAGAACCAAGTCCCAATGGATACGTACCACTTCTGTGGACTTCAGATATCGCTCTACCATAGCAATTTGCCATCAAGAAGATCATAAAGGGAAACGCATAACCTAATTGATTTTTTTCTGTCAGCCGCACGCGCTTGCCGTGTGACATTCATTTCCACCGCCTGCACCCCACCTCCTGTTTGTAAGTCTGCGATATTAATACGAGTTGAAGTATCTGGCAATTTCCTGCCCGCAGCCGGGAATTATTTACCACACCTGGATCAATTATGTTTCATCAACTCTGCCATTTTAATCTCTGTTCCTTCCATTTGCAACATGTAATTTTCAGATCTGCGGAGATTTATTTTGGAAATGGCCTGCCAGATCCCCTTTCATGCCTGGCGGATCAATGGGGGAGAGAGAGACTCTCCTGGCTCTTCGTTATGCCCCCTTTTATTGCAGCCAACAAAAAAGGGAAACCCAACCTCTTTGTGCCCAGAGTTTGCGCCATAATAAAGAACGAACAATGGCCACTCCCTCAGGACTGTTGACCACTGTGGGGCCAGGAGATAGCAGGACGTGGGGCGACGTCGTGACTGAAGTTTCAGCATTGCCTGCTACATGTTCTGTATATTCCTTCAGGCTAATTTACCCCGAAGTCCATGAAAGTTTTGGGGAGGATGAGCACATCCCATTAATGGATTATGGCAGTCATTATTGGCTTGTAGAATGCCATTAAGGGATCTATAATATTTTGATTTGATTAGAGGTGAGTCGAGTCGTGGATGCAGAGAGATGCCGTCCTCTAGGTCCTCTCTGCTATCTTCACCAACATCTTTGCCTATGAATTGGGTCGTGAACATGCAAGCCATAAGCAGTTATTCATCTGTCATCCTCGCACAAACCCCTCCCGACCTTGGAGGGGCCCGTCTTATCTCAAAGTGGAACCCTATTAGCAACGGGGCAGCAACATGACATTACTGAATTCCTACTTCTAACATTCAGTTTATACAGGCCTGTTTATTGATGTTTTAATCTCTCCGTTAGTCTCTCCTCGCGACTGCTACTCCTCCTGGAGAGAAGAAAATACATACAATACATGGCGAACATGAAATTACAATCAACGTACATCTAACACATGATCTCAATTTATAAAACTTCACAACACGGGTCAGGCTCTCATTCCAATTGTAATCTAAATGTGTTCCATACTGACATGTGACAACCCATGCATTGTTCATAAGGGACACTATTCTAAAAAATGCCTGAACACTAAAAATTCCACCAATCATTGTAAAAGCACATTCTCATCCCATACTCCCATCCCATAGTCTTTTGTAAGGCCTACAAATGTATTAGTTTCATAGTATGTTTGTTGTCATACAGCAGTAGATGACGTATGTTGTACCTTGCATAATTGTTGTGTGATAAAATTTATCAATACCTGCCCAATAGGTGGGGGGTGGATAGCATGGACGTTGTTATTACAATATCAAAGACAACAGATGTCGTACATGTGATCAATGGATTATCAAAGTGGTCAGTTGGAGAAGAGGCAACTTCAAAGGGTTAATCCGACGAGGGGTATCACCGTTCAGGCGGCTTTGCTGAATGGAGCCCCTTGAAATTAGACCTTTTTACGCACGACAGGGCAGCTTAGTTTTTATTCTCTTATTCAAAGTTAAACCCAACCCTTTTACTATGTTAATTTGGAGGGCCCGAAGGGCTGTAGGTTTTCCACTTCGAGCTCTCAGCACTTCCAGGCCTCTTGGTAAATGCCTCTATAGCACCACCATCGGCCAGACCAGGCTTCATAAATATGGCAACTACTGTTCCAGCGGTATCCCCACGGATTTCCCCTAACGCAGGCACTGTATTTGATCTAAAAACCATAACTGCGTTTCCTTGTTCATTACGCCGTTATGAAATATGTAACAGACCAAAAGACATTTTTCCTACCTTGTTACTCAACACTAAAGGCGCTCTATTAGAGAGTTAGGAGGAGAGCACCAGAGGAAATGCCCCATGACTAAAAACACGAGCTCGTCAACGAACAGATTCTGGGGGATTTGAGAGATCCTTGGGGGGCAAAAGGGTGGCACCAAGGCAATTTACCTTGTGTACAGCATACAGAGATGTTTGACTGGGTCTTTGGGCATGGAGAAAAAATAGCAATAGAAGTATGTTTATTGCATGTTCATGTCCACTGGAATAACAGATGTCAGTGACCTCCTTATGATACTATTCTACAGTTAGTAACAGCCAGTGTTTGAGTGATAACACAAGAAAGAAACTCAACAGTCCTTGCTACTAATTCCTAAGTACATGTACTACAGTCAAACATGTACAAATGACTACCTCTACATTACATGTAGGACCACCTTGCCAAAGTGACCATTTTTGAGATAATTTCCCCATATAGACACACAAGTATCAAGAATCCTGTCAATAGTGACCAAATTTACCAGATTTTATTGGTCTTCTTGGGCAGTTTTGTCAGTACATGTACATGTACATGATAATTATATCTCATATCATCATATCTTAATCTAGTCTTCTTCATTATCTCCTTTCAAAATGCTTTTATTTAGCAAACAAACACCAAAGAAAGGTCAGTGGTCATTATACAAACAGAGCTGAACAGATACTGTGTACATTTTATACAGAACCGTGTAGCATGGTACAACAGAGATTCTGTCCCAGTCAGTTGCATAGTATTACTACCTGTCCATGGTGCTGAATTACTGGTTCTTTGACTGCAGAAGTGCAGACTATATTGCTATTCTTGACACAGCACAGATATAGCAAGCTGTGTTATATCTGTGCTGTCCAGATGACAGCCTGCAAAGTTGTATTGCCCCTGTTCAGTGAGACATTGAGTAAAAAGATTGACTCAAACAGAACTGAACAGAACAGACTACAGCACATGTACTCATAATGCTATTGTTGTGTTATACCTGGAACTGTCATGCTGTCCACAAGTGTTTTACACATGTTCTTTCCACGTTATGTGGTGTATTTTTCAAACAACACTCATCAACTCAGAAAGCAGAAACAGACCATTGACAAATGCTAATAGTGCCAGTGATATTGTGCCATGCTCTTGTCCAGGATTGTAATATATTTATACATTTCATACATGTACATTGAATTTTTCTTTTTGCTAAATTCTAAAGAAAAAAAAAGTTTTTGCTTAACGTGATGAATTCTAAATGAAGACATTGTTCTCCCCACAGAATCACAGACTACATGGATCTGGCACCGTCTGACGTTGTGAGTAAGAGCTGCTATGACTTCCTTCATGCTGAGGACGTGGAACCATTCCGAAGGACACACTATGACTGTGAGTACTAAATTAAATGCTTCTGCTGGGCAAACTCACTGACCAACACATTTCTTATCTTCAGAATTTTTGGGGTCAATGACCAAGTTCAAGACTTCCATTGTATTTGACCTGTCACTCGATTCATGTGACTATGAGGTCACATGTCAAAAGTAAGAGTCATTCACCCTTAGGATGGCTGAAGGCTTGGCTGAAAATTCTGAATTTCTCTACTTTGTTTAAGAAGAAAGACTCAGTCTCAGCTACAATATAGCTTACAAAATCTGTAGAAAGGTCTTTTAAAACAATCATTTATTTCTGTATGTCTTGTCCTATCCTTAAAATAAAAATCAATAATTTTTCATCTTCAGCCTTCATCATGATTACTGACCAATGACAGACTTCCGACTGTGTTTGATCCATTGCTTGAGTCAAATGTTTGAACAAAGACTGAAGACTTGGCCCAAAACATATTTTTGACAGAAGAAAGTTTCCATTTAAATTACAATCCATCTCCTGCCACAAATGCACACTAAGTACCTCAATCATGCATTGGTGTGTCCTGATTAGCCGGGAAGAGCCGGCCTCTCCGCGTTGTGCTGGCATTTCTCTCTAGTGTGCCTGCAGACTTAATTGAATCAGTGCTGCACTTTAGATGTCGTATCATTATCCTGCGGGTTGGTCCCTCAGAGGATTGAGCCAAGCTGGCAGAGGAAAGTCTTCCTGAGGAGATTTTAATATCCCTTGTGTGAGTGACGTAGGCTGTCTCCATTTGGGTTCATCAGAGAAACATCCTCCCTGTATAGATCACGTTGCAAGAAAAGGAATTTACTTGTTGCGTCTCATTTATTTTCAGTTTGTCTGTCACGAAAGATATCTGAAGTAGTTTGGTTGATGGCATTAGAAGCTGTTTGTCAATAACAATAACAAAAATAATAATAACTTTATTGCAAATCTACGCCCAAGGGCTAAAACAATGGTATACAATATGGGTATACTGAACAGAGAAGAAAAATACATTAAGAAACCAAAGGCGTAATAACAGCTTTTCTAATTTAAAAGTTATTTCTACTTCAGGTATTTGACATACTCCATACAGCAGTGGCAGGGCTGTGGTGTATTAATTTTTTTTATTTCATTTTTATTTAACCAGGTAAGGTACAATCAGTTCATGCTTTTCATGTAGCCCTGGGTCTGACATTCATAAAAATAATAACAATATAGCAATAATTGTTGTAGACTACAACAATATCATAACTTACATGGGTCAACAATATCAATAACATATATTAGCTAAGCATAACAAATTATGGTAACAATCCAGGGGAAGAATTTGTGTCTGTGGCCACCTGTTCCAGGCTGTGATGATGGATAGTTGTGAAGTTCGGAGCGGTCCGTTAGTGTTTTCTTGGCTGTCACTCGGCCTCTCCCAGCAGCACCTGCAGACAGACATCCAAGGCTACAAAGAAATTGCCTGTCGAGATGAGGCAGAGGAAACTATCCATCATCAGCATCCGTCCTCCATGGCTGGACCACTTCCTCCTGCCACTTGCTCCACACCAGGGAAACCTCACCATCAACTCCTGTAGGGCCAATTTAGGTTAATTCTCTTGTTCTCAGGATTAGCAATTTGCTGCCCCACCTCTTGGGATACACAAATCTAAACTCCTGAAGCTAGGGCCACTTCGGGTGAATTCCCCAGGTCTTGAAATTGATTGCTGAGGCATCTTGAGATCTTGAAAACCTCAGTTCCTTGGCTCCCTTATACAAGAAATAGTACTAGTAGATGCCTCAAAGTATAAAATTTGTAGTTTAAATATAAAATTTGTAGGCTGTATTTAGAGACAACAGTTGATGGAACCAAGGAATGACATTGTTGCAGCCTGGTAGTACTGTATCTATAGTTGAGGAGTGTTGAGCATTTTCTAAGAGATTTTCTTAAAATAGAGCCAACAATACATGTAGCATCAGAGAATGAGTCGAAAGACAGGAGCTACCTGACTTTCTTCAGTAACTAACTTATTTACATATTGATTCAGAAGCTCATTTACATACAAGTTACACTTGTCCTCATCCTCAGTCACAGATAAAAGATAGGAGATGCTATCTTTAACAACTTTAGAGAATTTATCCAGTAGCTTGTCTGTCGCACCTGAGGACACTGCATGGGGAGGGAGTGTGCGTGGTGATGTCTAAAGGGGCGTGCTTCCAAGGGAAACACATGTGAGATGATGCATTATCAGCGACGATAGGTGACAAATGATGAATAGTCAGGAATCACCACCTGCCCGCGCGAGTTTCCAAGAGGAGGGGAAAATTTGCAGGCAGCAATAAAATGGACAGCAGTCATTTTTTGTCTTCCCCTGAGCTGCGTCACCCCGTGTGTCTGTGCACACAGATAAAACCCATTTTACCCGTCCCAGGTCACTCTGGCCACCTTGCCTCCCCTGCAATTTACTGCCAGTGTTGATGGACAGCCGAACTTTTTCTATTCATATCAATTAGGAATATTGTTTTCTATATGAATAAGAGCAGGATGCCCCACAACGACCTTTTGGGCAAGAATACGGCTAATATATGATGTTTCAGGAGTGAAAATGTTGCTGTATGGTTTAGAGGTGTCCTGGGGGAGATGTTGACTGATGTCATTTATGGGCCTTCTGTTGTAAAGGCTTTTCACTCACCACCTCACAAGGTTCTGAGTAGAGAAATCGATATCAGCTATAGGGCAGATCTGGTAACCGAGGTTAGCTTTGAAATGGGAAAAGCATCTCTCAAGCCAGGTTTAGCTAACATAAGGCTGTTCTGCCACTGGTCATAACAAAAGGGAGACATAAAACTTACATATGCCACTGTCCTTGGTACTGAAACAGTAGTTTCTATTGAGGTTCCAATTTGGAACTTTCTTTCCACTCAAACAGATGTCAAAGGATTGCTATAGTTAACTTCACACTGGCACTGTCCCTGGTACTGAAACAACATGGTCAATGTGAAGACTGTAGAGAATAGTCCATGACATACTTAACATTCATTTATTTTTGCAGGAATTTAATTTTGTGGTAGTAATAGATTGAAAATGCATATTTGTCCTATCATGAATATGCAGTGGAAAGACTTTACCCAAACACTTCTAAAAATGTCAAGATTTACAATGCGACAGATTCAATTTACTCAATGCACTCAGGAAATTCTCAAATAAGAAGCAGACTCTCGTCCAGAAGTGGAACTGCTAACTTCTGGACCATGCATGTATAGTTTTCATTTGTAGTACATGTTGTTTACAGTTTATTGCTTGTTTATTGTAGTGATAAACAAGGGCCAGGTGGTGTCCAGTTACTACCGGTGGATTCTGAAGAATGGCGGATACATCTGGGTGCAGACGTGCGCCACCGTCACCTTCAACACCAAAAACAACAACGAGAAGAGCGTCATCTTCATCAACTACGTCCTCAGGTGACCTAACCTTCATCCCTAAATCCTTTCCTGATTCTGTATAGGGTGTAGACTTCTCAAAGTTTTGTCTCCCTTTTTTGCAAGTCACTGTTTCATCCATTGCTTTCTGAGTCTGTTAGAGGTTCTTTTCTTTATGGTTTTGTTCTCTTTAATCTATCTTGCATTGTTAGAACGGTGGAATTGCTTTTCTTATCACGTAAGTATCTGTCAAAAACTGGTGTGGCCTTAGGCTATTTCTGCTGCAGCGTTCGTCATTACATGTACATCCTCAGGGTCATGTGATTGGTCAAGGCTAAAGTAGAATCAGCCCAAAATTGAGTTTTCTTGTTGTGTTGGAACATGTTAATGGATTTGTTACATCAATCATGTAAACTGTATCTTATATTTTGTCTGACCTTTATCTCTTCACCTGAAGGAAAAGCCGCAATTTGAATACGCCCAGTATTTTGTTAAGAAACAAAGGGTCAAATAAGCAAACACAAATATTAGTTCCTTACAAGGACCTGTTTTTGTTTCACACCCTCACTACAGATATGGTGTTAATGATGTAGTGTTGTACATACAACTCTGACAGGCTCAGGTGATCGGCAGTTTCTCACTGCGCCGCCTCCTGCAACTTTACAGATAAGACTGAGTTTGGTTGCCCTGAGGCGAGAGGTAAATCTCCTGTCCTGGGTTCTCATAGCCACACGTGTGGCCCTATCATCCCATACATCAACAACAAAACAAACTATGATGTCCCATATATTGTTCCTCCTCCGCTGGCATTTACCATCTGTATCGTTTGCGTCCCGGACTGCCCCAAGACAAGATTACGTCCTGCATTCTTCTGGGCATGATCAAAAGTCTCTTCAGCTGTGGTGACATATGAGCAGCTGTCAGCCTTGCCGAGCTCTTGAAGATGTTGAAGTGTATTAACACTTGGATATATGTCGGCTATTAGACAAAAAGACAGGTGCTTCTTCTGCCAGATTAGGTATTAGCACACGTAATGCTGCAGGCTTGTCTGGAAATCTCTGATGCAAATAATCCCAGGGACATGTTTGCAGCTGATAAATCATATCTACTACTTTGTAACTCTTCAGTGAAGAACTGTGTACTGTTTTTACAGGTAAAAGATTTCATGCAGTGGCAACTGGCTGTGTTTTGTGGAAATTCTTTTATTACAATCATTAAGAAAGCTCCAGGTGATTTTCAATGCTGAGAGGAGAGACCATAGGTTGCACTCTACTTACCGTCTTTTTAATTGTGACTATGTCTTGTAAAATTTCATTCTTGTGATAGTAGAAGACACTGAGTGACAGCTGAGCTAGACACTTGTCTAATGTTGTGGGGAAGACTTAAAATGTAAGATCAAGAAATCAGCTTCATCTTGACTGATGCCCAGTCAGCTGCAGTGTTTAACGAATCAGAGTCACTCATCTTGTGAGAAGGAACGTCTTCCTGCTGTTAAAGTTGGTGGATTTCCTTTGTTTGAGTAGACATGCAGGCACAGATCCTTTTAAGCAACTCAGTGCACCTAACAAAACATTGTGACAGATTTTTCATACTTTGCTGCATGATGAATCTATGTTGCGACATGCAATAGATATGCTCTCGACAAGCTTTATGATTATGTATATCAGCAATAAATGTGTCGGTAAAAATTGTCCACAGTTTATCTTAAAAACGTGGCAATTTTGTCCTCATCAAAGCTTTTAAAAAATCTTTTAAAAATCCTTTGAAAAAAAGTCCCAAACGATTCAGAGATTATTTGGAATGAAACAGGGATGACAGCATTATGTTATGGACAGTTAATTAGATTTTATAATTGCCACATTCCCTGTACATATCATGCATAATTTTGATAAGGGAATCTGTGTGTGCCGGCATGCCTTGGGGGCATATGTATCCTGAAGTAATCCCGTTTTCATATAAAATCATAAACAAGATTAAATGGCAGTGGAGGGGAAATATTTGTCATATCACAAAGGAAAATCCCCCCAAACACAACAATCAGAGCTAGTCATCAAGTCCAAATAACCCAGGAGGGCAAATAACATCCCAATCTTTTCAGAGTGAAGGCTTCCCATTCTGATGGTCCCAGTTTGATTACAGTGACAGCTTAAGATAGCTGTGTTGCTTTTCAGCATTAGCCATTACATCAGCGCCACAACTACACAAATACCCCGCAACCTACAGGACAGCATATTACTAGTACTACATCCTAAGTTCTTCACACATCACATGTTGTTTGTTATATTAAACTGGAGAGCTTAAAATTACAGAGAGCTTTGTTGCCTTTCTACGTGGCACAAACACAAATACTTTCTGCAGTACAAGATGGACATTTCCACGGCAACCTGTTCCTCTCCAACTTCCCAAGGACAAGTCGCCTCAGGCCGACATCTTTATTCATGTCTGACTCCTCATGAGATGAGGAAATAAACGTCTATTACTTCTGGGTGGGTTGAAATCCGCCGGGGAGCCCGGGATTTGGGCGTGCTCGAGGTAAAGCCCGGATCTTCCTTCTACTGTGACGCTGCTGCTTTCAGGGGGAACTCTGGGATTTCTTTACAACCCCGAGCGACTCTTTGATGAATGCAGAGAGCGATGAAAACTTTATCTTCCCATAATTGGCAAACGAGGGAGAAGAGAATGGATTGTTAGGAGTGAATGAACAGATGGTTTACTTACTGACATGTACAAGATGGTTTTGAGGAATGAATGTATGACATCACAAGTGCAAAGAGTTGTATCAAAAGGATTTTGCCTGAAGCAGATGATTATATTCAGATCTTTAAAAAATAATGCTGAATCAATAGATGATCAACATGAAAACAGTCAAAAGCAGTACAATGAACCTGTAAATACTGAAATATAATCCATCTTCTCCGTCACAACCAGTGGGAAGTTAGAGCGCTCTTCAGTGAGCTAAACTGGATTGAGATCACCTTCCTTACTTTTTCTGCCCTCTGCAGTCTGCCCGAGTACAAGGACATTCCCATGGACATCAGCCAGGTCCCCGACCTTCCCCAGGACCCGCCCGACACTTCTGACTCCTCCGACACCTCCGACAGCGAATCAGACTCCAACCATGACACAGGTCAGTGGCTGAGCTGTGGGTTTGTGTATCTGTTTGTCTGGACAGAGTAGGTTAGCAGCATATGAGTGGGGGAAGATTGACAGGTCAAAAGGTCAGACACAGGAAATGGGGGTAACTTGAAGATTCCACAAACCCAAAATGCTTCCAGGAAGGCTGAAATCTCTGATTTCTTGTACATGTACTTGGTACTGGCACCTTTCCTGTCCTTGGTGCTGAAGCGATGTCTCCTGCTATTAAAAAAACAAACAGCCCATACAAAAATCCTCACACTTCCAATTACAGGAAGTGGTGTGGATAAAAAGTAAAATGCAACCACTGCAACTACTAACTAGGACTCATGTTGTTTCTTTTTGAGGTGAAAATTAAGGAGCACTAAAGGATTCCTGTTGACTGTTTTGGTTCTGTCCATTATCATTTTAATTTCCTAGAGGGAAAGTCTAGAAATAAGGGAACAAAGTAATAATGATAACTATATTAGGATATATTGGTTGATTTTCCTCAATTTTAAAACATGTAATGCACATTGACTGCTTTATGTTTTGTCCACAGGACAAGTCAAGGTACAGCACTTTTCAAAACAAAATAAATGCAGAAAGAAATAGTCCACATTTACATGTACTTACAATGTTGACTTTCTGCATGTGTAAGTTGCCTTTTCATCTTTGTAAAAGATAGCACATACATGTACATTGACTGATCTGTCTTTCATCCACAGAGCAAGAAGACTCCAGGTCGGACAGTGACAAGGAAAGTGAGAGTGGAAACAGTGAAACGAGCGAGCCCGAGAACAAAAAGAAGAGGCGGTCCGAAGCCAACCAGTCTGATAGCAAACAAGGTGCCAACCAGAGGCCAAACAAGAGACGGCGGAGTGTAGACCAGCAACAAAAAGGTGGACAAGAACCGGCCTACGGGCCACCATGAGAGAGACGCTTCGGAAAACAATAGTGAAACAAAATCAGATGCCAAATTAGACGTAGCGGATGCATATTCCTTTCGCACAGAGGACAGTGAAGAAAATGGTGCTACGGACCCTGCAGACGTGTTGAGCGTGTCCTCGGTACACACGGTTGATACTGATGAGGATGCACGTGAGCACACGGACAAAGCTTCCCTTTCTTCCTCCACGGACAAGAAACACAGGAAGGCTGCAAAGAAGGCGAGGAGGAGATCCCGTCCATCCGTGGACTCGGAAACCGAGCAGTCAGTTCAGTGGGTCTCCTCTGCATCCAGTGCAAATGACTCGATAACTAAAGGTGCTGAGAAAAGTAGACAAACGTTGCTGGAGAGAGCTCCTCCAGCATTCCTCTCCTCCCCTGAGAATGACTCGGGCCTGAGAATCAAATCGGAGCCCAGGGAAGGAAGTTTAGATAGCGATGGTTGGAACAACCCGCCCAACCGCCAGGCTTCCGAGGCCCAGTCCCCCCCACCTCCCCCTCCAGACAATCAGGCCAGGCTGCTGCCAAGCGGCGTGCCGCTAGTCTCTTCCAACTCCAGTCAAGTAACCATTCCAGACTCTGTGCTCACGCCACCCACCACCGAAGGCACCAGTGCAACTGCAACCCTCTCCCCCGCCCCCCTCTGTCTCACCTCCAGAAGTTCGGGAGCGGGGACGACGACGGAAACCTACACCATCACCCCCCCACTATCTGTCTCTCCCAGGGAATCCAGGTACCCCATGGGCGCGAGCGTGTTTTCCAGGGAAGTGTTCGCGCGCCAGCACATGTACCCCAAGGAAAGTGCAACCGAAGGACTCCAGAGGTTCCTCGGAACCCATCAAAGACTGCCTGTGACCAGTGCGGTCACAGCGGGGGCATACCAGAGGATGTACAGCGCAGAGGCCATGAAGGCGGGGTTCTCGGACGTGCCGTATGCGAGCCACGCCAACCTGCACCTCCCCACCTCCCAGCCCGTCAACCTCCTGGACAGCGGTGGGGCGCATCTCGGGGAGGGGCACTACGTCCTCGACAACTCTGCCATGGAGATGCTCTACAGACAGGTGCGACACGGCTTTCCGCCACCCGGGGCCTACGGGAACACCATGCAGCCCGACCTGTTGCCAGGCGTCGACCCGCAGACACACCACGCCAGCGCCGCTGCCATGGGGATGTACCAGACCCCGGATGGGTTTATCGCGACAGCGCCCTTCCACCTTTTCGGCGGGACACTACCCACACAACAACAACAGCAGAACAAGCAGCAAAACGATGACCAGGATGGCAGCCCCGTCTGAGACAACAGCATCCCCTGGTCCTGCAGTTCCCAAACTCGGGGAACAGACAACTTCCGGGCGGATCAGTAAACATGCATCTAATTATCGTACCACCATCACCATATTGTATGTGTTTGTCCATCAATGTGACAATGACACAAGCAAAATGGTTAAGATTTGCCAGTTTCTCTAACCCACACACCACCAGCTCAACAGTATCAGGATCCCCCCAGTTGTCTGTTCCCCGAACCTGACATGGATTGTGATCAACTCGAGGAGTGCAGTTTTCTTCATGCCAGAAATGCCAGGCGTGCATTTTGCCCTCGCTGTTGTTCCAGGTTCTACAGTGTTCTGTGAGGTTTACCAGTTTTACAGCTAGCTCTTGTAACTGTTACGTAATTGTCAAAAAAATTGTCCCGCTTTTGTGCAAAATGCTTGTGACTTCACGCACACAAGTGACATCTAATTGTTGCATTTTCATCCATAGAAAACTGCACTCCTGGAGCCCTACAGATTTCTCTACACTACTCACCCAACTGACATTGTACAATACTTAAGTAACCGTTGTTGGAATCTTTTCAGTGTCCGGTTTGCTCAGAATTCGGGGGTGCATATCGGCAGGATATTTTCCCGGAACTTTTGACAGTTCCTCCTGGGACCTGGTGAAAACTCCTGGGGAGGAGGATCTTTACTTCCAACTAGTTTGATGAAATTCTTGATGTTGGTGCTTGTGCTTTGAGCAGCTATTGTAAAGAAGAAGAAAAACTTCTCAGACACACAAAAAAATGCCATACTGACCATGTTTTGGGTCCTTTGCCATGCCCTGCCATTTCAAGTCCAATCTGATTAGCAGAGAGATAAAAACAATCCACGGATGACAGCCGATAAAGTCAGTACAGTGAAGCCTTTCATTCCAATCAAAATTAAATCTTTTTGGAACTTCGAAGGATAGGATTGTAGATTTTGTATTAATGTAAATTGATTTTGTACAAAATTTTAAAACGGGATATGACCCCCTACCTCCGACAAGCCAAAAGTCAGGAGATTGCAGCAAATCCTTATTTTCCGTGAAATTTCAGTAATGTTGCGATTGTGTAAATATTAGGCTAAATATCTTGGTAGCAATCTTGCAATGATGCTAACTTGCACTTTTCTTGTTTGTGTTGGTGCCTCAATGAAATTGAGGTGACCTTGTTATCTATGTTGATGTTGTCTCATTTTTTTGCTACCCTCAATGTGATTGAGGCTAAATTTAAATTCTGAATAATTTAATTAAGGACTTATATACTGCTTGCTGCTTGGAACAAGCAGGACTTCTGTTCAAGGAAGAATTTGTATTTTTGTTAACAGCTTCAGAAGCGTACGAGGAAGGTCTCAATGTGAGGCTGAGCTTAGACAACGTTAAGTTGAGGTGGAACCAAGAGAGAGAGAGAGAGAGAGGAGAAAAGCGGGTGAAAAACATCAGTTTCCAACTGAAGATATAAAATGCACAGTTATCACGATTGAAATATAGTTGTGAGTCTCACAAAAATAACTCCACGGAGCAACGGACCCTGAAAAAGTGTCCGGCTCTGACAGTGAATCTTTCCCCAGACAGACAAATACGACTGCGACGAATTCTCTGCCAACCACAGCTAATTGTTGGGAGATAAATTGTAAAAGAATACTATCTAACTACTATGGAGACCACACTGTGGAGGTGGTATGTTTTATTGTGGAGATGTTGTGTTGTTGAATCTCATTCCAGCTAATCAAAGTGGTTGTGCTCAAAGACATCATGTTGTGGAAAAAGTGTCCAAATAACAATCTGGGTGTGGAGTTTTCTTGCTTGTCCACAAGAGACAAGATTTGCCAAGACATGGCCTTTTCTTGGAATACATTTTTAATGTGAATAGCAGAAATTCAATGTCATTGCAATAATGGCCTATTTTTCATGCCATGTGTTGACAAATATTGCTAAAACATCTGAATGAATGTCGAAATTGCATAGTTAGTAGACACAATATTGCAATCTTCCATCAAATTATTTTTGAATACTTGAAAATAATTGGGATCAGACATTGCAATGAATGATTTCAGTGACAATACCGACGAGAACGAAGCTCTCACACATAGCTCTACTGCAATTATAGGGATACAAATGTAACAACGGAGTCTCTCTCTACACATTCAACCCTACAATCAGGCTCTACCTTCCATATATATGGTAACTACACACACTTTAATGCTTATCAGTCTCAAACAATGCTTACACACATACACCAGAACATATACATACGTACTGTAGTCGTTTGTTCGTAACATTAACTCATTTCATGCTACCCACACACAGCTGTAGTGTAGCAGTGTACCGTTGGTGTTTTCCAGCTCTTTACCGGACTTGTGAATTATGTGGTGGTCACTCTGCCAACAGTGTGTAAACATGTTTCTCCAGCCGTACACAAATAAAAGGTGTTCTAATGCTTTGAACCGACCCTTGTCTGTGTTTGTCTGGCTTTCTTTGGGGTTTCTTATGCTCAAGACTTTGTTACACCCCCTATACATGTATACAAATGATGAACACCCCTACCTACTAACATAGGGGTGTACGCAACTCCTTTGGGTGCTGAAAAAGGAGTAGACATGTTTTCAGCATTTGCTGAAATTCAGCGTTTACAAGACTGTAGCTATGGGAAATAACACCATTCATAGTGACACATTTAGGAAACGTGGAAAAAAGTTTTGGCATAATCTGGAATAAGGATGTAAACAGTAAAACAATTATCAGTGGCGTATTTGGCCAGCTCTTGGACCAGCTCAAGGATATTCTACCCCAAATTTCCCTGGAGCAGAGGAACTGTATGTGTAGCCCCTGGAAAGTCTGAAATTTAGGTTACAAAAAGTCAGGTCAAGTGTTTTGCATTTGTGTTGCAACTTTCTCTGTTACATCTAGCTTGGTGGGTTTGGGGCTGCAAACTGCAGTGCAACAATGCCACCTACTGATAAGTGGTAAAACTGCACAAGAACAGACTGGTTGGTAATAACACGAACCAGCTGCTTCTCACCACAGTAACAACACATAGCAAACCCAACCTATATAGAAGCCAACATGACAAGGACATCTAGTACATTGCCTTACCGCTTGAGGTCTGCCTATCCTCAAACACAGGACTGACAGCTCAACGTCCCCTCCAAAGGAACCCCTACCATTTGCATGTAGGTCCATCAACGTCCAGAACATCCTCACCAAGCAGAGGTTTGGGGTTATTTTTGGCGTGTTTTTAAGCTTTTTTATCAGGGTTTCTCTTTTGCACTGGAATTTTTTTTCTCACCCAATACCAGTGAAAAAGATAAACCCCGATAAGAAAGCCTAAAAACATGCCCAAAATAACCCCAAACCCAAGCCTCTGCTTGGGGACTACTAGTATCCAGGACAGTCTGGTTTCAGACATTTGTAACCCTGTGATTTAGAAAATTTACACCACATTATGCTGTCCAGTTATATCTATATATATTAATTCACACAATAAGTGAACTTCAACAAACAAAGACCATCAGGATATCATTTATTCTCCATCAAACTTTGTATACATTATTATAACATTGAGGTTGTCTGTACTTATCTAACTGTGCTTATTATGAGCTAGACTGTTGTCACGTTGTTGTAGGGATACATGAAAACTGACCAAGCATTTGCCCCATATCCTCGTAATCATTTCACAATGCAAACCAACCTTTTCTTTCCAGACTATGTTCTTACAAATATTCAGTCCAATATCCATGTCATCACTTGGCCCCCAACTCTATGTTTTAAACTTGCTCTCCTTGTCTCCATTTTACCTGGACAATACATGTACATGGCATAACAAACAGCTGATAAACTGCTGAAAAGTTAGGCAAGTGAGAAAAGTATGGTTGTGTTAAAAAGAAGTTTGCCTTCAAACAACTAACCAACCCGATGAAGCTATTAACTAAGTAAATAGCTGAGCTTTCACTTCATTGCATCCACACAATAAATTCATAGGGATAGAAATCCATGGCTAGGCCACATCTACTTCTTAAGTTATTTCTCTAAAACACGAGGTTTAAGCTATTGCAAAGAATATCCCTTTCAGGGCTTAAAACTACATTAAGTACAGGCCTTTGCCAAATTCTTAATACCAGTAACTCTGATTTTCCCAGGTTACTGAGGCATTACACATTTTAAAAAACAACTATGTTTCATTTGTTTTTATAAAGCTGGGACTATAGATTTCCCCCAAAATCAATTATCTCTTGCTATCTGGCAGGTACAAGCACTTCTGATTCTTGCGGCACAGGGAACAGACAAAATAGTGAGTCAGTCTATGTGTAAGTGCCAACTTCCAATTTTGAATTTCCCGCCAGTAGATTAAGTTAGTATAGCTTCCCGCCAACTCCCTGCCCCCCCTGAGCACCAGGGTGGGGAGCCCGTCTGTCTGGGACTTAGGTAGACAAGGCGACAGGCAGTGCATAAGGCACAAGCAGAGAGACAGAAGTCTGGTGTGGTTCGTGAGTTAGGACCAACAAGGCCTGGGCACAGAAGTCCCAGGAAAGACCAGAAGAGGATTACAAAGGCCTGGATACAAGGATCCAGGAAATCCAAAAGGGGTATTCCAGAGGCCTGGATACAAGGATCCAGGAAATCCAGAAAAGGATTATCAAAGGCCTGGATAGAGAGGGTCCAGGAGATACCAGAGGATATTCTGTGGAAGGACGATGAGACCATACCAGTTTTAAGCCAAGAACTCGTCAAGAACTCGCCAGGAACTCGCCAAGAACTAGCCAAGAATTCACCAGGAACTTGCTAAGAACTTGTCAAGAACTCGTCAAGAAGTTAACAAGAACTTGTGCTTTGTTCCTCGAATTGGGATCAAGAAATCAAACTGCACCTAGGAATACAACTACCAACAAGAACTCTACCAGCAAATTCAGAAACATCGAACTTATACGGCGGAAGTAGAACAGGGCGGATTTCAGTTTGTATTACTAACTCTACTGAAGATTAAACATTTATGACGTATTCCAATCAGTTTGTACGACTTCTTCCCTGAAGACCAACAGAGGTGAGTTCGGTAACACTTCCTCATACGTCCATCCCATGCAGAATAGCAGCAGCCACAGTAATAAAGTGGTGCTGCGCCTACACTATGTCTGGAGGGAAAATTTCAGAAGGAACAAATCAAATTGCTGAGGTTCACGTCTTGTACCACGTTTTCCTTCAACAACCTGAAGAAAAACTGAGCTCTCCTGCATCTTTGAAACAGTAACGAGGTAGACATTCTTGTTGTCAAAATCACATACATTTGCTCTGAAGTGAAGTTGAACTGTAATTTCAAACACAAAAACATTGGACTTCATCATCAAGATCATTGGACTTAACCATATTTTTTGGAGTGAAAAAAGACATTCTTTCACAACAATTTCTTGAGATGGGGGTGGCATAAATTTTCTGTAACTTAAATCGACCATATGTTTTATCTACTCAACATTCCTCGACTATCGCAAATTTCAGTAAGTGTTCTTGCACTTTTTTTACTAATAATATAATATTCACTACTGCAGGTCCTACAGTAGTCTCTTCCTTTCTCCCTGCTACCCAACCCCTTAACCATTGCAACATTGGTACCAAAAGGCTACTTCAGTGAGCAGAGGGGAAGGTTAATTCTTTACCGTGTCACATCTACTTGTCTGAGGTTGTTACAAACGGGACACTTTCTTAACATGGCACAGAGAGCCTGCATTTTGGCCAAGTGTACAAGTACACCAAGTGCTGCTCCTTCCTGAAGTGGCAAAAGGCAGGTCTAGCATCTCTGTATACCACATACTTTTCAAGAAACCAACTATAGTATAGACATAATATAGACATAAATAAGTGTGCACATTAGATAAGATTTCACTGTAAAATTTCTCTGGTGCAAATTACTTCAAATGTTAGCTGCACTTGTGCTGGTATCCTGAAAAAAGTATTTCGAGCCCTGGCTAGACTTTTGCTATTGCTTTATTTTCCTTTCCTGACAAACCTACTGACATTTTGGGTGTCGAAATGTTTGATAGCATATTCAGCAAGCTACATGTATATAACAAACAATCCAAAATAAAACGTCTGGAAGACAAGGATGGTTATAACACACCTGCGCTATCAGATCCTGCTTACATACAATGTACATTTCCATAGTTACCACTGACCACTCCCCAATTCTTACTGCACTTGGCAGTTGACTATGGCAGAGTTGTACAACCAGTCACAGACCCAGTTACAAAGATAACTGGCAACTAATAAACTGACAAGAAAAGGGTCTCAGCTAGTATTTCTGGAAGGAATGCGAAATTTCTGATCTACAAAATTGGGTGAAAGTTGTTTGAGCAAAGAAAGAGTTTTTGTTACCCGTTTTTTAAAATGAAATTCTTTGGTTTGTTTTCATCTTTTTTTTCCTGACGGTTTAGAAGTCATCAAGGTTCATTTCAATGTACATGTCTGGACACTGCATGAGGAGGGGACTGTGGTGCCTCTCTACAGGAGTACATATCACCACATCATATGAAGCTCTATTTACTAAATAATGTCTCCTTAACAACTACTAGGGCTCTACATACGCCATAAGGTGCAATATAGGCCTGTCATGATATGAGCTCTGCCGAGAAAGTATAACAGTGATGCCCCCTGCCTGTCATTCAAGGTACTGCCTCTAACTGAAGAGCTGTGTGTGAAGAACAAAAAACATGGGTATTAGTACTTGACCCGGAACAGGGAACAGCGAAACCTTAGACTGTCTGCCAACTTGGCATTCTATTTGTTGTGTATCAGTGAATCAAAGCTAAAGCATATGCAGAGTGTCTTCTGTTTCTATCTGCCGGCTTTTAAACATTCTTCTGCAAAATTGTTCTTAGATTTAGACCTTAGAGTTTAATGCTAGTTATCTTAGGAAAAGTTACCTTAGGAAATGCTCCATGATGTTAAAAAATGTTTGAGCTACAAGAATTGAAACAGGCTATTAAGAGGGTCTGCATGGGGGGGGTCCTGGCAACGGTTAACGGTAAATTCAGCAGGGCCGATAACGCTTAACGGTAAATTCAGGACGGTCGGCAACGCTTAACGGTAAATTGACAGGCTTTTTTTTCGAGCTGCACTGGATTTGGTATCTCGCTTTGTGAGAAAAGGTGATCACTGACAAAATATATATACCTCACATGTAATGAAGCACGCATTAAAGGTATGTGTTCCCGGTGTTTTCCCACCTGCCCTGGTCCCCGAGTGCGTCCAAAAATAAAGGGGAGTCCCAGTCGACGTCGGCCAGCTTGCCATTTTTCAGTCTGCCCAGGTCTACCGATGGATTTTGAGAGGCAATGTAAGGGGGTCCGGGGGATGCTCGCCCGGGAAATTTAGGCTTTTTAAGCCTTCAAAAACGCAACTTCCCGCATTTTGAGAGGCAAATCATGGTGTTGAGTATTTGTTGGTCCTTCTGATGTTTTCATATTTTTATTCAAGATTTTTGTTAATTTGCCTGTCAAGGTTGACGGATTCGTTAAAAAATTTTTGTAACTCTCCGCAAACTTCCGGAAATTGACGGAAAGCTGGTGCTGGGTAGAGCCGAAGGGACCGAGCGCAGAAGCGCGAGCAATGTAGGGGGTCCGGGGGCATTCTCCCTCGGGAAATTTTGTATTTTTAAACCTTCAATGACGCATTTTGCTGCACTTTGAAAGGCAAAATAAGCCGTAACGAAGAATTATTCATTAACGCTTAACGCTGAATTTAGGATGACAAATAACGTTTTACGTTGAATTAAAACGACCAATAACGCTTCACGATGAATATACTGATAACGCTTAACGTTGAATTAGAGCGGGCCGGCAACGATTAACGGTAAATTAAAATAGCCCATAACGGTTAACGAAAAAGGGCATGCAGACCCTCTATTAAGGCGACAGCATGCAACATGCACAGCAAGCATTTCTTCAAGCTCATTCAACAGAGGAATAATTCAAGTTTCCAGAAATATCGGTTTGATGAATGCCCTTCAATCCCTTGACAAGTTGACAAATTACTCCTTCTAAGCATAAAATGATTTCTATCCATATGTGTTTGGTTGTTTATTTATTTGTTAATATATTTATAACACTCACCTCAGGATTGGCCTATAGAGTTGTGCGTTCTCGCCATTGCTCGAGCCCTCTCCTCCGCATCGAAGTACCAGACAGTTATAGCATATCTAGATAAAAGACAATGTACCATATATCTAAGTACAGACGGTTAGAGGCTTATAGTTATACTATGGAAAAATAATTTTGTGTTTCTTGTTTCCCGCTGAGCCATTTTTGGTAGGTCGACCAGCAAGACAGTAAGATTATCATCTGAATTTCCGTAGGCCTAACACGCTCACATGTTCAAGTAACACAGTTACAGAATATCAGCAGAAGGTAACATTTTTGGACCCCCTAGGCTTTCCTTAGTGCTGCAGTAGAAGTTCTGGGTTTTATATCTCTACTTCTAAGTACCAGGAACAGACAGAGTGCTAAAGGTAATGACAGACTCACCGTGTAGCGAAGGCTTCCTGTACCTCGTGTGGATTCCGTCTGTCCGACCAGAAAAACAGGAGTCTGTTGAACTTGGGCTCAATATCTGCTACCTCGTCACGACCTTGGGGAAATATCCGCAACAGGCCTCCGTTTTTCTGAAGACGCAAAGTAGCCGAGACTTACATGTAGGCCACCATCAATTCAATGTCATCCTTTTTTTCTCCTACAACTTGCTTATGCGAGCAATAGCCACTGGATGTGAGACAAAAGTCAATGACTAAAATAGGCTGCAAAGCTCTATAAACATTTAATCATAGCACACACAATCAGTGGTTCACAGCTGCCAAGTCTTGAGAGTTCTTGTGACATGATTATGTAGTCTGAAGGATGCATCGACACATGTCTGAAAAGACTGGAGGCCGCTGTCAGTGTCACTGATATCCCGAGTCAGACAAGTGTTACATTATTGGTTGAAGTCCAAGTCGTAAATGGAGCATTTTTAGACACAACTGTATCACAATAACAGCAGGATATGCCTTCCCATGTTGACAGGGTTATCCAGTTTTAAACAGGGATCTCCCCAGAAATTTAGAGTATGATGGTGCTGATTACCTTTGCTAAGTATGTTTATTTTGGTTGGTGTTTGTATGTAGGTATGTATATGTTATGTGGTTTAGCATGGTAACTCAAGAAGCTATGGATGGATTGTCATGAAACTTGGTAGATGGGTAAGTCTTGATGAGACTTGGAGATTTTGGGCTCTCGAGCAGCTAGTTTCAGTAGATTTGAGGACAGAACCTGTAAGGATACATGTCCATGGATTTATTACGACTATATGTTTATGGCTTTGTTATGACGTCAATCATGTAACCTGAACCTGTATATTTTATTTGACACACGTCTTCCCTCATGACCTCAATGAGAAGTGGCTGACTGGACTGAACTGTCAACTGAGTATTTGTGAACAAGCAAAGGTATTAACAAACAAACAAATTGTAAATTGTGACAGCATTCTTGGCTCCAAACCAAAATTTGAACCCAACAAACAAGTTCTTTAGTCAGGAATGCTTGGGTTTCAACAGGCCAGAAAAAGAGATCATAAATTGTTGCCTGGCTCCTCACCAACATTGCAACCATGATCTCTGCCATACAAGTAAACAATCTGCTGCCCTCTGTTTTCTTCAGCAGGATATTTTGCCAGCAGCCGACATCAATGTCATTACTTTGTTCTCAAACACTCTCAATCAAGAATATAGCAAGAGATTAAGGTAAGAACAGAGGATTAGCAGGAAAACTTGAGCCAGACTATATTCACTCCACAAAACGTGTACTAAGGTACAGACCTTGTTTTCATCACACTCCAAGGCTTGAAATACTGGGCACATATGCACAGATAGGAGCTGTGCTTACATGTAAGAGTTATGTACATAAAGATACTATTGCACTCTATTATACAGCTGTCCACTTCACGAGTCCTACCTTGCCTGTACACACGTACATCCATAAAAGCATAAATTAAAGCTCTTGGATTTGGTTATACTTCACTTAAATTATAGAAGTGACCTCGAACACATACTGAGTCACCCACTTCTCATGGGACAATTGCAGACATTCCATTAAAATATAATGTATGCCTGTATCTGTTAGAATGTACAGATGTTTACAAGTCTTCCCTATACGGTATGTACATCATGTAGATCTTATCCAATGTACAAGCGCATGATGATTTTTAAAATTCATTAATACATGTATTTTCTTCCAATATGTAAGTGGAGTTAGTTGTTTTCTTCTTTCATTATATGTACATGAAGGTAACTGGTAATTTTTACATTTGCTCATGGTGCTAAATACATAGAGAGAGGGATTTAGATACCGCTGTCACTGTCAGAAGCAATGTCAGAGGGGTACTGCCTCAGTTATTTTTCAAAATTGCGCACATAGCCATGACAAATACTACAACTTACAAGGTGAAGGTAAAGCAAGCAACCTCAGTCTGAGGGTGAAGCACAACGCCTTTTTGCTAGCTATCAGTCTCTTGTAGAACATACAGAGACTGAACAGAAACTGATCCCTCTGGCAGAGCATGCAAAAATATATGCACACAGCAGTGTTCGAAATACTTTTTTTCAGGTACGTGCAAAATTGCACATTGGCAAAATTTTTAGGTGCAATTTGAAAAATTTATGTGCAAAATTATATTTAGCCTTGCATCTTTAGGTTTGCAACTGTTTTACTGTGTATCAACCTTCTTAGCCTGCCACTGCATATAGAAGTTTTAGTATACATTAAAAAGAAGGGACCAAACAAAACATGAACAATGCAAGTATCATCTAGTGTGTTTATAAAAAAAAAAGAACACACAAAAAAAATTTGTCGCCATTAGCTTCAAAGGACGCCGCTAGTGACTCCCGGCCCTCTCACTCGTCATACCGGGGTATCATGTCACGAACACTACAGTTGGAACTTCCACATCTTATACGGCACATAAAGAAAATTTACCAACAGTATGCGAGCAATAAATTTCATGTATTTTGCATATTTGTTTACCTTGAATATCGTGCATGATATAAGGAAAAAAATACAGCTTAGAAAAAAATAACGTCCGGTTAATTTTTGCTTCTTGGCGCTCCCCTCCCCCTCCTCTGGGGGCGCGTCGTCAACATCGGCTGCGGCCGCGGGATCATCGGAGACGGTGGACCCGGTGGCATCTCCCGATCCACCGCCCCCGGCTGCACCAGCCTCTGGTCCACCGCCACCGGCTGCACCAGCCTCTGATGCCGGCTGGGCCCGTGAAAAGAACTTGAAAATCGACCCCTTCTTCATGGGCCCTTCTTCATGCTTTACAAATTTCCTGGGTAGCACTGAATGCTGGGAAATCCGAAAACTCTGTTTTTCACCGAATTTTACCGAAAATTGGACGAAAAAGCCGAAATTACACTGCCGAAGGACTTCGTCCCACATCGGGCAACAAGTTTCGCGGGTCTGACCATATTTGGTAAATCAGCTACGTAGGCCTTCGCATCTTGCCATATTAGGTAAATCATTACGTAGTGCCTTCGCGTCTTCACCTGGGGACGAGAGCAGCTTGTTCCCAGGATGTTCAGTAAAGAAAACAATATGGCTGCCATGCGCTCAGCGAGATGCCGACACAGCAAGAAACTTCAGAGATACGCAGTGCAAACATGATATATCGGTATTTTCCAGGTGCAAAATTGCACATTCAAAATATTTTTAGGTGCAAATCTTGAAAATTACGTGCAATTTGCACATTGCACCTTTGTATTTCGAACTCTGACACAGGCATGCATGCATATGCACACACACAAACAGAAAAGCCAGAAACAATACTCAACTCCCTTTGAGGTTGACGTTGAACTTAAAAAGTGTGCATAGGTAGATACAGATGACACATCCAGAAGATAAATACATAACACAGGTGACAGTCTTACCTGTACATCCCAGTTCTTGTTGAGGTAATATATACACGTGACACAGCGACCATCTCCATTTGGGTTGTCGACATGTCTGACATAACGTGAGCCACCTCCTGGATAGCAGGCTACCATGGCCTGTAACAATCAGGACAACATTTACACAATCAAAACTTGGAAGAAACAAATCATATCACAAATCATACACTTTTCATTGGAACAGAAAGGAATCTGGACCTTTACAAATTGTTTACTATGTACACTAAAAGATTTAGGGAAGTTCATATTCCTTCCTGAATTTTTCATTATGATCAGATGAAACCAACACAGTGTCCGCCACAATGTGATGCTGATGCTGACATTCTAGCAAAATAGACAGGGACAGATTTCGGTCTATCACAGGATGCCTGGGTCTGTTCCTATTTGTTTTTGTCCACCCACTTCAACCTTGATTTCCTACGAAGATCCCTGAACCAAGAAATGATATATTAGTATAAGGCCACAGCAAGTCATTTTAATGCCGGACAACATCAATGCGTGCATTTATTTTCTCTGATTTTGGAGAAAAAAAAACAAGAAATTATGTTGCAAAGATGTCTGTTGCCATGCCAGAACATGGATGGCAGGAAATATAAAGAGAGGAGACAAAACAAGGCTCTGATTTATGGTTTTGTCTTCTACTTTGATCATCATCATATCTTGTCAGCCCACTGCGCATGCTCTGGGACAGTGATGTATTTCATTCTTTTTATATGTGATGGTGGCTGTGTATATATGTGAACCATTTGTACAATGATTGAAAACTTATTTTTCAAGTTGTTTCAGTGACAAATAGATGCTGTAATAGTTGGGTTTCTTGTTAAACAAGGTTTATGATGTCGGAATATTGTTGTTTTTTTCGCCCTATCGCATGATAGATTTGGAGTCTCCAGAGGATGTCATCCATAAAATTTACCTGCTGTGGCCTTTAAAAGTTAAGTTACATACAGCCAAGGCCATCTGGTGCGTGCCACAAAACTCTGCCCTTGGCCTTGGAATGTTTCTAAGTTGTTTAGTTCAGCATAGCAAATTGGACATCAGGATATCAAAGGCCTTCCTCAACTGAAACCCGCTTCTTCTAAAGTATGTGCACGACGCGATAGTCACGAAAACCGTGTCAGTTACTAGTAGAATCTGAATCTTACCTTAGTTCTGCCGTTTATCTTGCACTTGCCCAGTTTATTGTTGCACCTCATGATTATTGAGTCCATCCTGGAGACCAGGTACCCTATGCGGCGACAGTTCGGCTCGCTCCCCTCCGCCCAGGTGATGATATCCCCGCGGATGTTCCTGGCGGTGTTGGCGGTCGACTGGTTCACCAGCTGCCCGTCCCTGAACACGCCTTCCTCTCGGAGCTTCCTCACCTCCTCCAGGATCGAGTCCCCTGTCGTCTCGTCCAAAAAATTGTCCAGAACGCAGATTCCGTCCGTGGTTAGCCGCCTGACTACGTGGTCGGCCATTTCCTTTTCCCTTCTCGCATCTAGCGATATTCTGGCGGGGGCGTTAGGGCCGTTGTCGGCAGGCTCTTTGTGACCGTTGTCCTCCGGCAACATCGGGCAAATGCTTCTAAAGCTGGTAAAATCCGGCGATTTGACAACTGAAGAGAGGCCAGCACCGTTTAGACCGTTCTGTTTCTCCGCCTGCTCCTTTTGCGGCTTTGAGTTCGCTTGCCGGGGTTCACACGTGTTGTTGCTAATTACGTTGCCTTCCGCTGATGTCACTTGGGGTTGTTGGCTCGCGGTCGGGTCACTAGTTTTGCCTGCGTCTTTTACTGCGGGTTTGGACTTGCAGACGCGCTTGTGCTTCTTCCAGTGCGTCCTCTGGTGCTCCTTGCTGCAGTAGTAGGCGGTCCGACAGCCTCCGCACCTCATTAAGTTCTCCATAGCACCGCAAAGTTCACAGCCATCGTACGAGTTCTGGTCGTCACGTACTCCAGGAGTGGCCGCCATCTTGTGATTACCTAACAAGTGCTTGCGCCTGCGCCGAGAAACAAACGCACGTGGCCGACGTGCCAAAAACAGAAAGTTGAGAAACGACCATGATCCTTGCCATGACAAACACTTAAAACTGCAACGTTCGACAGAAATCACTACAAGCGGCACATCGTCACCTCCTTGACTAAACCTATGTTCACGCCACCACTAAAACATATATGCAATAAGCGAACACAAAATAATCTTAGATAAATGATTAATATATAATATAATATAATGTCGACATGTGATAAAACGTTGACGTTAGTTATGAAAAGAACGTGACATGGTGAAAGGAAACAACGTAGTTTTGTATTGTACAGTCACACCCCAACAACAAAATATCTAGTTTGTACCCACTGAAATTTGAAGAAGTGATAAAAATGCAATGCCCTTGATCGATGCACGAGCTTTCGCGAAAGAGAATGAAGTTCAAGGTGGGAAAACAAAAGTACTTTATGGTTGATGGTTCCAGAATACAGCTACGGTTACATGTATAACATATATAGTCCAGCCGCGATGTTTATGGCCGGTTTAGTCCAAAAGGACTACGTGCCAAGTCCACATGATACGACCATAACAAACGTTTCCAAAACAGGGGTACATTTGGCCTGCCAAGTGCCGGAGAGAAACGCCCCAAAGCTCAGCGACAGCGCTTGCAATTGGCAAAACGCCCATTCTTTTACACAACAAAAGCACTTGATCCACTGCATTTCCCCTAGACGACCATCGCAGTAGAAGCAACCTTTGAGCGGCCAGAAATGGATTTGTTTGAAAATTTGTTTTTGTTTTTATCTAATTGGAATGTAATACACGAAGAAAAGGATGACCTTACAAAACGTAAAAAGATCAGTTTTATCAATGAAATTCGTTGAGAGATTATGTAGTCCCTCAGCGGTTGCTGCTTCCAGTCGGGAAAGTGGGTGTAAGCAATGTTTTCAGTGCATCAATGACTGTAACATGTTTATCATAACTTGCATCGGACTACATGTATTTTATTTACTTCAATCACAACGTGTCATTGGTTTGAACCCCAAAATAACATGTTCACCCAATAGTTACGACACACAGAAATAGACGCCGACACAAAAACGATCTCACCTCTTCATTTCCGATGATCTCTCTGTCGCCACCGCCTCACCGCTCGTACCTGAACTTATGCACAACACCGCTACCACACGAAGCGCTGTGTGTATGCATAAGCCAGGGGAGAAGGGTCATCCAAAATCGTTTGTCAGCGATAGTCAGGCTCCTCAACAGGATGGCGCTTTTGGGGTGCTATTTTTTTAATGACGGTATACATATCATGCAGTTCTCGGCACTCAGCCGAGAAGAAACCTAATGCAGATATACCAGTGCATGGAGTTAAAAGAAGGCCTTGTTGTTTTTCTATCTCCGTGATCAGTGTCAGACTGATGATATGCCATCAGAAAAAAAGAACGTGTTGATGAGAAGGTAATCACGTAGTCTCTACCAGACCAACTACGCTGGCTATAAGAAAACAAGACTTCTAATTACTATTACTAATCTCAAACGTGGATTATAAAAACTACTCTAATACATAGGCTGGGATTCTGCTCGTCTTGAGTTTGCCAGAGGAGTTTTTAGTTTCCCGCACAGTTTAGGGGAAATGTTTACTAACGTTTACCACGTCTCACTCCCTTGACAAATTATTGGCTATTTGTGCCGAATACTAGTAGATTCTGCTATCCGTAACTTATACATTACATAACATAGTGGGAAGGCCTGGTGGACTCCGTCTCGCATTGTTTCAGTCACTTGGATCCAATCACTAGTAATAAATCAATCTATTCACTCGAATATTCATTCAATAAACAGATAAATTTTTCGCTTTGATCTGTCAACCATTCCTTAATCCTTTTCTGCTGGCGCGCCGTGAGAGGCCACGAAAGAATTAAAACAATCATTGGGGCCTATATACAAAATAAACTTTACAAAATGAAAATATAGACGAGTCCCTCAAACAGAAAGAAGAAAGAGAGAGTAAACAAATTGTTAGTCTCCACAACAGACTCGTCGGTGAATATATTGTCTCGTTATATTGTGATTGCTGCCGTGTCTCCGTGGCTGCAATTTTCTGCATGTAATGATTGGTAGGTGTACCGAAGTCTGAGTGTGTTTCAACCGCGAGAGAACTGTGCAATATCATCAGCGTTATGCCTGCCGAGGAGCCCGTGGTTTTGTCCCGCCATGTTGACAAGCGGCCCTGCACGTACACCACTGCACGGTGCCAGACTTCGCGGCGCCAACGCGGCTCATCAATGTACGAACGTAACCTTGTAAAATTGGAACATCATTATCACAAGCCTCTCTAGGGCTTGTCTCCTGGAAATGACGAGGGCTAGCCTTTGGTTGATTGTAAAGGTACGCCTCTTCAGGATTACTTTAAAACTTAAAGAGTAGTTCCTTGAGTGGGCTCCTCCATATTTTTGGGTGTATTGGGTGTCTCCTGACCCTAAAATTGTGACTACTGGATAGGCCTGAGTCACGCAGCTTGATCTCTCGATGCTCGATGTCAGAGGTTGTTGGGCCTGCTCCCCGACCAGTAGAAGGGCTGGAAGCGTGGTGCTGCCAGGCTGCAACATTCAATAAACCTGAGAGGGTCCGTTTACATAACGTGACATCAGGCACGTTTAACCGTAATCGGCCCATCCACTTTTAAAAAACGATACGGCAGCAATATATAAAAATTTCTGACCACGTTGCTGTCCTGTTTACCGTATGTGATTTTATCTCGCTTTGGTCGGGAAGGATCCGTGCACGTAGTCAAGCAGACGTTATCAAAATGAAACAAGGCAAGAAAACAATTTAAAACGGTAAACGAACCAGCTAACAGGGTTATCAATCCACTATTAAGATGTTCAACTACTCCCTTTCCAAGAATTATTGGTAGACATGCAGTGATCATGATCGTCACCAAGTACGGTGCATCGTCACCAATGGTAGACTTACTAGTATATATTACTAACCTGTCACAACTAACGTCTGCTAGAATGCGACATATCCAAATGTCGCATTCTAGCAGGAGTTAGTTGTGACAGGTTAGTTATATATAAACCAACCGCGGCGTAAGCCTCTTTAGCGAGCTCTACGAATCTGGCTTTTGTCAGACTTATCTGTGCGTTTATGGATATACTGGTGGTATATCAGGTCTTGGCATACGATTTGTGACGGTGGGCCCGGCCTCCACTGAGCCTCCAGAGAGTCCGACTCGTATACGTAAGAGCCTGCTAAGGAGTCAACCCGAGTCCCGCGACTGAATGCCTGCAAAACCTCGGTATGTCACAAAGAAGGGTAGTTACTCCGGAAGTGACAGATACAGGTGATTTCAAGGTCATTAACAGTTTAATAGCTCATCTGCACATTACCAGCCAGCGGCATGACCCCAAGAAATCTAGCACGGTCGGCGATCTAGAACAGCGGGAAAAGGTCGATGAACGCCTCCCAACGTCTACTAGTATAATACATAACTATTTCTCATGGGCACCGCGTTGCAACCAAACATGTAACTTTAGCTTGCAGATATGTATATATTGTGACTTATTCCATATATAACTGTGACTGTGTATAATATATAATAGTAATAATAATAGGCAAATAAATAATATATAATAGTAATAATAATAGGCAAATACAATTATATAATAATAATAGGCAAATACAATTAACAATGATACTATATGTTAGAAAATGTGGTGTACGCGATAAACTCCGAATGTAGATACACACATACATGCTTTGAAATTGAATGTAGTTTCATTCAGTGTGTATATATTTGTTTTTGCATGTAAAAAAAAATAAAGGACTCTGCGAAAGTCCCATATCTTTTATTTGTAAAGTCAATGAAGTTGTATGAGCACCATAAGTAGTGTAGCGAACAGCAGTTGCGAAGGTTGCACAACGGCTGAAATATATGCATGTAGTAGGGTTCGAAATGACAAAACCTGAAGACTGCCGTACCGGCTACTTGTGGAATGATCGGCCTTATCAATGTAGAATGTCAAAGTACAACAAGTTTAGAGTATCATGCTGAGCTATCCTGGTCCGTGTTGGACACATGGTGGGCTCGAGTTGTAAGCACGACACGTGCCTCACGTGGTCCACGTACTCCAGTTCAGCTTCAATCATCTGTGTCAATCGATAACAGTTAAACATGTGTAACTAGGTTCTATACTACACTAATGGCAGATATCCTAACTTAATTCCTCGGCTAATACTTCTTGTGTAATTAAGAATGTATGTACTATTCTAACTGTGCAACCAGATGTAATTAACGCCCTGGTTGCAAGTTTCTTGTCTCAGGCTGGCACGTAGGCAGCGGAATATGTGCCAATAATGATGCGTGATGGTGACTTTGAACGTTATATCTGCTTCATGCATAAAAATGCAGCCAGCCATGACCAATCAGCCTATAACTAATAACCTATCACTTCAAGTGCGCTAACATAAACAAACGGGTTATGATTTAGCCGAATGAAATTTATGGTGTTTCCTTTTGTGTCGGAACAAAGCTCAAATTTTACAACTCAAGTTTATTTAGTCTGTGCGCTTCGCTAAAATTGACGTTTATGAGAACGAATACTCATCAGGTGGGGTAATACGGCTAAACTCATTTTGTATTTTCAAGTGAATGCAGAAGACTAGAAAGGACTTGCACTACACCAGAAACTACATGATAAAAGAAACGTATATATGATGATCGGGGGGGGGGTATTTGGGTCTGAGATATGCAATTTTTATTATCCTTTGTGCAGAGCGCTAGCCTAGCGTTATTGCCGCCTAAATATAATGACTTAAGTAGATTTTACTTGTCTTTGTATTCGTCCTGCTTAAGTGAATCGGTATACATGTACTTAGTCTTTTTGTTTTGTTTGTTTGTTGTTTGTGTCGTTATTTATTGAGGAGGAACTCTATTCCTACTGTGAATGTGCGGCTGCATTGCACAACAACTCTGGGTGATGTATGCAGTTTTAAAACGCTTCTCAAACAGACTTTAATACTTAAATCAACGATATCCCCCCTAGGGTAGTACGAACCGACATGCGGATCGAAGTAGCCTCCTCAACAGGCTCACTCTACCATCGTAACTCCCCCCAACTCCACACCGTGAGTCTGGCGACTAAATACGTATCAAGACCGGTACCGAATCCAAGATCTGCGCAGCGTGAAATAGCTGGAGGATCAGATGGACAGCTCTCAGCCAATACACTATTGATGTTATTATTCAACATTACTATTTAGAGTCCACGTCTGCCGAAGATAGACGATAGACGTAAAAACGAGGACCGTGAACAAAAGCATTATTTGTACGGATGGCGTACTGTTATCTGATCACTGTTGTGCCTTGCGACTCCCGTTTCCAACATTACTCACATAGCAACTCACATCTGCCACCGGCGAACCGGAGCCATTAATGGGAACCGCACACAGACGGCAATAAACTGACGGCAATATGAAATGCCCGGCGAGAAGCCTGTTGTCTCGGCTACCACATGGCCTACGTGCACTCCCCCATGTAGCGCGCCAAGTCTGCCAGGGGGAGGCGTGTGTGACGTCATTAGTATTGTATAATTGGTCTATTTTCAACCGACGGGAAGTCTTCAACCTGCCACTTTGGCAGCCGAGAAGTCATTTAGTGTGTCATAAGAGTAACCCACCTTATACCGAGTGTTATTGTATACACGTGCAAGTTAAATATCATACACGTGCAGTACAATACTCTCCAAGCAGAGGTGAGAGGGAGAGAACGTAGGGTATTCCGACATGGCTAGCTAAGGGAGGCAGAAATGTGCCTCCCTTAGCTAGCCATGTCGGAATATCCTACGTTCTCTCCCTCTCACCTCTGCTTGGAGAGTACAGTACAACACAACACAACACATGACTGACTAAGAATCCGTGCCTGAGCTGTTACTAGTTTAATGTGCCACGGCCTGGGTTACGGGAAAGTGGAGCAGTGTTGTGTTCTCTGTGAGATGACCCATGTTCTAACGTGGCAGACAACCTGTCAATCAGAGTTGCCCTGGCTGGGTTATCATGACATTTTGGGGGACGGTCCATTTTGGTGTATTAGCCAGTGCCTACAAGGTGCCCTAGCAAAACTTAAAAGTGGCAATGGTAACACAAGGCATCTGCGGTGGCCATGGTTTATGAATGTCTGCAGGTCACTTTTAACGAAGGTAATGAGGTAGGAGTTAAGGACCAGATACAAAAATATAGACAATGATTTTAGAGCTGATGGTTTTGTCGTTCAAAAATAATAATTGTTGAAACGAAAGTTATTACCACCAATTTTCCAGTTTTTCCACGAATATTGGAATATTCTATTGTCATGAAAGGGGGAGCTCATGACGCAGGGATATATCGAAGTAATGTTACCGTATATTTTTACCTGTATTGTGTATTATATGTGATATCTGCAGTTGTTGTTATTGATCTGCATTTCCTTTGTGATATTGTTTCTGCCAAACTGGCTGGCAGGGCATTGATAAAAGAATTCCATCGGCGATGCTCACAGGTCAACTCACATCTACTCCGGGGCACCGGAGAACCGCACACAAACGGCAATAAACGGGAGAATATCGGATGAGCAAACCGGAGCTTAGATTACGGTGGATACCAGACTGCTAGAACTTATCGAAGTATCTAGGAGATTGGCCTTATTGTGATGTCCCTCTGACACTGAGACTCATAACCTCCTTATCCACCAGTGTGGGTCACGTGGCGTCGATTTTGCGCGTTTAACAATTAAAGTGGTTCGTGACTACACGTAAGTACGCACGTACACCACGCGGATCGTCTCAATGATGCAGCCTACGCAGGTTCTTTCCTCAACTGCACGCCATTCAAACATGCTTGGGTCATCAATTAATTAGGCTGTGCAATTGGGTATAATGAGAAAATATGCACCCTTTATAGCCGTAATTAATTGATGAACTAGACCTCATACCTTCAAGACTTGATGGATAAAATCTGACTTAGCAATGTTTTACGGACACTCTCTTCGTGTCTGGCGCTTTCCCAAAAGGCTAAAATTGCCTACTGGTACGACTGCTTGTTAAGGCGGCGACTAGCGGACTGTTGCAGAACAGCAGGACTTGTCAGCCCCAGATAGCCAGATCAGCACCACGGTCAGGACCAGTCTTTTTATTTGGAGGCATCCTCAAAAGCCATCGTCAGATATATCGTTACATAAACAACTAGAATGATTTGTCCGATATCTACCAAAAATAGAATACAATGATAAATTTTATTCAATTATGCATTATCTATATCCACTGATGTTCTTCTTGAACCATATATGTAATGTGTATAAAGTTCCTCTTATTTAACACAATTTAAATATATCTTTCCTCCTTAATTTAAATTTTTCATTCCCAATTCTAAAACTACACCTGGAAACAACAACAAATATCGTCAACAAAACAATGATGTTACTAATAGTAAGTATGACAGTGATTAATCAATGAAAATAAAGATCAATAAAGATCTGTTGGCATTGAAATTATATTTCAGACTTTAAAACATGATGCCATTAACAGAATTATCTGTGGTGTTAAAATGCTATTTCAGACATTAAAAATGTTCATATTTACAAGGCTGTTGGACTCTTCACACAGCCTAATAATGTTAATCTTGAAATGTTGCCATGGTTTTATTATTGCAGTACCTTTACAATTTCTGCATGTTTTTGTGCTACAGTATTGTTTCGAATGCAAACTTAAAACATTGCAAAAACTTCCTGTCTACTAATATCACAAAATTAAATCCTGGCAAAAACAAATGAATTTTCAGCAATCTTATTAAACCAAGTCATTTTGAAAAAAAACATGCTGCTTCATTCGGAGTAATTTTGGCACTCATAGAATCATGTTCAAAGTTCAGTTGTCATCGATGAGTCTTTACGTTCTTCCTCTTCCTTGTATTGTATTGTACTGTCAAAGGTTCTCATGGCTTCTGCCACATTCTGGCTGTAGGATCGGCTTTTGTTGTCCTCAGAGACCTCAGAGTCGCTCATGTAAAAACCTTTTTTTCTTTCTTGGGACTTCTTTGGCGCAGTCCATTCTTTAGTGACCTGGAAGGGAGATGACAAAAAAAGGTTTCTTTGGAAAGGGAAAACTGAAGCTGATATGGTGTCAATGTAAAGGAAATTGGAACACTCCAAGATTATAGTTTTTTTTTAGATACACAACCTGACGTTTCTGTCTACCAATGTTTTAGCAGCATTTCAGGGTGATGTGAAATGCTGGTAGAAAGACAAAATAAGGTTGTGTACCTACAAAAACTATGTTGAATTGATTTGATTAATAAAAAAAATTGGTACATGCATTTAGGAAAATCTATTTCAATGAAAGACTTCAATTGCAATAGCAACATCAGATTCTACAATTGTAAGACAAAAGGGAATGGACGTCAAAGGGGTAAATTTTGTGTTTAGGGAATGCATGCTTGTTATAATATTTCCTCCAAACCTCATGGTGACCTCCAGTAGCACCTGCGCCACCCTGCTGCCCTTCTCCTGCAGAATTGTCACTGTTGCTTGATGGCCTTTCGTTGTGCTCTGGGGCGTGGATAGACACCACGGTCATCTGGGTGTGGTTACTGATGTCGCTCACCTCGTCTCCTATTGGGCTGTCACGCCCTGCAAGGGATGGGGTACTGTTACTTAAGGTGTTATAAAGGATGTGTTGGATTTGGTTAAAGAATGCATTGATGACAGCAGAATGTCACAAGCAGGCTGAGCACCTAACACGCTAGCACTGGACAGCTTCAAACAGCAGCTGGAGTAGGATAATGAATGGTTAGCCTACGTTCTGACACCCCTATGTTAAGATATCCTTATGTTCTGACATGGCATTAGAGTTTTCAGAACAGAGGTTGAGTTGTTGGAACAGTTGGATTATAGGGGTGTCAGAATTAAGGGGTGTGACAGGTTGTTCTGAGTGATACATCCAGTCACAGCTGTGAGCCGGCAAAGCTGCAAAGCTATAAGAAAAGTAGACAAAATATAGTTAAAAGATTCTGATGCTCTAATACACCTACAAGAGAGAAGGGAATGACTACAAAGTCTGACTACTGAGGAAGCTGGTTGTCAGGTGAGCTAGTGTAGTGTGGCAGCTGCTGAATAAAGTCTCCACACAGAAAGCATGTGCCCATTATATCGTCACTCACCAGTTTCATCCTCACCCGGCTGAAAAATGTCCAGGTTGATCGCTTCTGAGAACTTCTTGGACCTGCCTGCATTCCTGTCATCTGTGATCAATTCATATACCATGTTTTTTTTATTTATCTAATTATTCATCTCACAATATGCATGCACAATATGCATATGTGTGCACGCGCACGCGCGCGCACACACACACACACACACACACACACACACACACACAAACAAACTGTGGCTATAAGGACATCAAACACATACCTGATAGCATGGCTATTACTCCTCTGAAATTGTTTCCTCTGTCTTCTTCTTCTCGATCCTCATTCTGGAGAACAGGCACAAACAGAGGTGAACATCAGAGGACAATCATGAAGCCACAAAAAAGTAACATCACTCAGCAACCATTGCAGAAAATGTGAAAAATAAGAAAAACCTAAACCTCAGCACTTGGCAAAGTAAACTCATCCATTCTCCTTGGAAAGGTGTTAGCTTTTTTAAAGGCTGTTTTCAGATTAAACACTGTGGCAGTTTGAAAAATGCATCCAACTGCTATTAACATTTGAACACAAGTGATGGTCTGCCACGCGCATCATTTATTTCCAATCTGCCACAATTTTCCATCTGAAAACAAAATTTAAATAAAAAAGCTGACATCTTCCCGTATAGAATTTTTTTAGGTGTGCAAGTGATTTGTCAGATCATGGCTGATTCCAATCTGATTTGTGAAGAGGTTGATTGGATGGAGTGATGCTGATGCTCTTGGGCTTTGGAAATTGACTGAATGTGTGTTGATGAATCTTGGCAGGCAAAATGCTAACATGACAGAAGCATCTTACTGTGCTGGGACTGGTGGCTTCATCATTGTTGAGATTTTGTGGTGCCATGTACTGAGGAAAATCACAAAAGAACAATCACGATTTAACAATCATGATTTAACAAAAAAAAGAAACTCATCTGAATACAGTTACACCCCAATGATCCCACAGCCTTAACCAAATCATTCACTTTATGTCGGAATATAGGGCTTGGAACATAGTGCAGTATAACTATTTGGGGATTTGTAAAATTGATGAAGAAACATGATGAAGAAATGAGCGCAATAATTATCATGATTATTGTGATTGATACTCAGCTGCCATCAAGATTCAAGAATGATATATCATTAATACACCAATGAAGGTTAGACATCCAGGTCATGAGATACACAAGAAAACAATTACTCATCGACAAGCAGCTGGATACGAGTTAATAATATGCAGTTATGCTTCATCATTTCAAATCAAGAACAGTGTACCATAACATCAACTTGTATGTTGCCAACAGGGTTGAGCTTTACTTTATGTGGTTGATGAGAACATGCAGGCCTAGGTGTGACTGTAAAAGGAAGTTGTACCTTGTGGAAGGAGTGGTGGTTTCCAGCCCAGTGCAGGGTGCTGGTGTTGGTGAAGCTCCCGACCTCTGTCACCCGAGTCATCTCCATGTCTAGAACCTCGTGGGACTCGGACCTGGCGGGGGAAAACGCGGACGAATTTGCAAAGTCCTGCCGAGAAAAGCAGTGGAAACAACTGCACGAGCAACACCTCTGTCTTCCCGCTGCTTTGCTATTGGGCTGCGTGCAACTCCAGTCCTGGAAGGAAAGAATAGAAGTCCCATTTGTGGCTTAAATGTACAGGAAGCTACTAGCCTGTGTTACACAGTTGCTTGCTGTCATGGGCTGATTGGGCCTCTCTCCCCACAGAGCTTGTAGCCATTAACACCTATAACTCCAGAGAACCATTACCAGAAGCTCCAACAGGAGTTCACTATAAACATCATCAGGAGTTATTACAGGATGCCTTGACACCCCTATACTATGTCAACCCTAAGCCTGCTCTTATTTTGGAACATGTAATAGTGGGGGCATTGAAACATAGCGGTGTCTCTATAATCTACACTCTTCAATATGATGTTGCGACACTCCTATGTTCGTTCATCTCCTTGAAATACTCACACTGAGAAGGCACAGGCAGAAGAAAGTACAAAGCATGAACCCCAGGATGATGACAACTGCGATGCCAACTGTGATGCCGACCGTGTTAACCGCTTCTGTTGTTGCCGTGGTGTTGTCAGGAGTGGTGGAGTTAGTCAAGTTCATGCTCATCACTTCCTTTGTGGTCTGGTCTGTTGTTGCTGTGGTCTGAGAGTCTTTGGTTGTTGGAACATTTGTAGTACTTGCTGTAGTTCTGTTCATGGTTGTGGCTGCTATCCCTACTGTGGTCTGAGAATTTTTGGTTGTAAGAACATTTGCAGTAGTTATGTCCATTACTGTCGTGGTTGCTATCCCTTCTGTGGTGGCTGGCTCTGTGGTGGCCGGGTCTGTGGTGCCGGGTCTGTGGTGCCGGGTCTGTGGTGCCGGGTCTGTGGTGGCCGGGTCTGTGGTGGCCGGGTCTGTGGTGGCCGGGTCTGTGGTGGCCGGGTCTGTGGTGGCCGGGTCTGTGGCAGGACTGGTTTGAGCCTACAGGAACCAAAAAATGTTAAGTGTTTCATCATTGTGCTTTTTTCAGCTTGACTCCTACAGATATGTTCATTGAATAGTTATCTAAAATCGCCATACATTGTTTTACATACAGCAATAAAAATATAATGTTATTGCATGATCTCCCTGTTTACTTCTCCTGGCACCAATTCAACACACGACAATTACTGGCAAAAATCAGCGATGTCTTACCTGACACAGGTGAAAAATGACAAGAAGACTGACACCTGTCAGAAGCATCACCCTTCCTCTGGCCATGCTGATCATCATGTGTCCTTGGTATTAAATAAGCAAGCGGGAAAGCAGAAGTTCTGTAAATAGCAGAAAGGAAAGAATGAGTGAATAGGATTCTACCGGTATAATGGAAAAATTGGATTTTCGAGATAGCCTTTTGAATCACAATTCAGCAACAGGAAGGCAAGTACAAATGTAGCTATCAGTACTGTTTCAGCCATATACATAAAATACAGTGCAAACCCCATTCCTCTCCTTAAGTAAATAAAGAAATTTACAAAATACAATGCAAATCTCAACGACTAATTGATAATAAGGCCAATAAATTAATGCAAATATTGCAAGTAACACATCCTCTCTAGTAAAGTTCAAAACCTTTCACCTGGCCCCTGTTCTGACAACAATTCTGACTAAAGTTCACCTCAACTGTACCAGTGATTTATTGGTAACTCATAGACTTTGACAAGTTCAAACATGACAGATGTATGTGTTTAGTAGGGCAAACGTACGTTTCACTGCAAAGCTACTGTGGTATTCACAGTTATAGTTATACATTAACACAATAACAGTGAAGGTGATCTTTTCCAACAGCCCTCCAATATAAACCACTGTCATAACTTGTGACATGCTATAAAATTACAGATGGGTGTCTATCCAGCTTCACAGGAGGATAAACTTTTTAGCCTATCTGCTATGGTATTTATGGTGAGCTTTGACTGTCCATGGTAACCATTGGCTATTGTGCTAGTCTGTAAGATGGGGTTACTGCACTGGTTCAAACACAATCCTTACACAGCTTTTACTCACCAAAGGTACAGACCTGATGACTGTTAAGCTATGACAGTGTTAGCTAATCAGTAGATGCCATATGTTGTCTTGTGCAATAAAGTTTATATTGTAACATCACCAGTTTTGTGCAACAAATAAGAAGACTTAGACAAAACTAGGGCAGTTTACCTTCTATTAAATAGACTTCTGAGTTACACTGGACAGATGTGGGAATGAGAACAATTGGTCAAAGGTCTCACATCTCTGACCATAGTGTTGGTTGTCAGGCACTCAATTTAAATAAAGGGACCCCTTTTTGTTCTAAGACTAGAGACTCATTTCTCACTTAGGTCACACCTACTACAGGTTTTCCTCCCACTCCGAACCTCTGTTTTCATAATGTCCTGTGGCGAAATAGTCAACATAGTCAACAAGGAAATAAATTGACCTAGCCTTCTATGTGTCACAGCAACCTGAGTTCAGGGCTACATTTCTCTGTGTCAGAAACATCTCTTCCATTGATTTTATCTTAAACCTTTGATATAAGAATGTTGACTCACCAGGGCAAACTTTTATCATACAAACGATTGTTCTATTTAACGTTATATATATGTTATCATATTTATCTCTTGGAGCTGACTGAAGCTTGCAGACACACATTTTCAGAACATTACAATGCTTCGTGTTTTAACAATTTTGCATGTTTTACTAGCACAGAGAAATTAACATGGGAATGATGATACAAGTACCTGGTCAGGGGATGTTCCCAAAACAGGTCGCTTCTCAGTCGGTTTAGTCAGTCCACACCCAATATCTCCAGCACTTTGAATTGGTCTGCGTGAATGTTCAAGAAGTGAACTTCAAGTCGGTCTTGTGGCTAGTAATTCTGCTCCTGTATCAGAGGGTGGTGAGTTCTACTCCAGGCTGTCGCTCAACTTGTCTACTGCTGGAAAGGGTTGGTTGTTCAGAGGGGTTGTTAAGCTATCAGTCCACCAGCTGTTCACTGCACTTGTTGTTGGAATTTGCCTCGTAAAAATGTTATGATTTACCAGTGCTAAGGACATCACTATGATAATGTCAGGCTGAAGTTGCTAATACGGTACTTGAAATCTACTAGACATATTGTCCATCATTAGTAACTAGGTGACAAAAAAGAAAGCGTAACTGGATCGAGATCCATTTCCAAATAAAGAAAAGTTGCTAGGAAGGACCTCTACCCCAAGACACACCCTGCTGGGTCACAAGTTAAACCACAACACATTAGCCAGCCTGCACCACACCCTTCCAACCTAACACAGCCACCCAAACACTGGCATTCTTATGTAACCACCATGAGTATCTTTACATACATGTACTTAAAATTTACGCACCTTTTCTTGAGATATAGTCTTGGTAACTGCCTCTTCCTTCTGGTGTCAGCTTATGGAGTGACCTGCTACTTGCCCGAAGGAGGAAGTGGCCCCAAAAATGCTAATGTAATAATTAACAACTGCAGGGTACGTGTTTACATTGGTAGCTAAGTGTTGAATAAGCCGCTCTGACTAAGCTGTTGTACAGTAATAAATAACCACAAACGGAATGGACACCTCTGGTCTGTTTTTAATCAAACACTTTTCACAAGGTTGGAACAAACATTCTTACTTACTGTACATGTGTGTCTAACTCTTGGAACACGACTGTACATTTATTGTACTGTAACAGTAACAGTACAAGTAATATTGACAGGAATGTACACATTGCTTTACATAACATCGACAGCATGTTATCAGAGCATCTACAGGGATAAACATCCCGTATTCCTTGTTAGAATCTTGTTAGTTTAAGCAGTTACTTTGTGCAAGCAAGCAGAGCCCTTTGATTCAAGAGTTGACAGTCTCTTCACCACAACCCTCAACTGCTAGGAACTTCATTTCTTAAGGCCACATCATGTTGGTCTCTCGTTTCTTGGCTTTAATAACAGACAGAAGTAGGGTGGTTGCACTTTGCTCAATGCAAAGTACAAACACATGTACGTAGGGCAAAAGAAGGAAGTTGATCATGAGTACAGACCAGTTTTAGGGTACAGATAGATATTCTGAGTATCAATCTGCCCAGTACTACACTCTGATTGTAACTCTTTTATAATGGAAAGTGTAACAGGCCAGAATGTAACCCAGGCCAGAAAATAGCTGGGCACATTAGCCTAGGGTACATGTTGGCCTGTTACACCTCAGGATAATGAAAGGGTCAACTGAATGTGAATATAGGAAGCCAGATGAGGAAAGTTCAGAGTATCATGTTTGTAACAGATTAGTAAGAATTATTTCCCTCAACAAATTTTCTATCACCTTTTAATTGGTACAGATGTCTTTCTTGACAAAACTTAAGGGAATTACACTTTCATTGCAATTGAAAATTCATGCCATTTTTGAAAAAAATGTTCCAAAAATTCTGAAACAAAGCATATCGTTCTTCCTGTGTATTGAAAAGTTATGTTGAATTGACTGTACAGCCCTCTTTTTCATTTATTCATCATACACTGCAAACTTTAATAAGAGCACACATCATCATCAGGGTTCCAAGCAATGCTCCTTATTCTGTTGTTTGACAAAAGTTTGTTTCTTGCTCATGATGGACAAAAGTTACGGAATATTTGGTTATGACAGGCAAAATGGACATGTTGGGGATTAAAGTTAGACCGAATAATACTGGACTGAGACTAGGTTGAGATGATGGTGATGAAAAAAATGCAAAGCTAACTAGAACCCTGGTCAAGTTAATTCTAGCATGTATTGCATCCCTACACTTCCTCCGTATTGCCATTGTTGCACTTTAGTAGTACAAAACTTTCTGATAAAAAGTACCAGTACGTATGACATCACATCTTGTTGAAAAGTTGAACTGCTTTTTCCAACAGGAAAGTCGGTCCGAATTTTCAACTGTCCAACTTCAGTCTTAGTCAAAGAATGAGCAATCCACCACTTCTGTGACACCATATAATGCAGTGTATGATCAACTGCTCATTGAATTACATGACCTATCTGCATAACATGGTGTCACAGAAGTGGGAATTTCTCATTCCTTGATAAAGATGGAGTTGGACAGTGGAATATCTGTGGAAGTGTTGGAATTAGTTCTAA